GAGAGTGGAGATCGGACCCGAAACCAACTAAAAAATGTGGAAGGAAGGGGCGGAGTTGCGCAAATCCAAGACAAAGACTGGTGATGATGATAGATCATGGCTCGGCTTTTGGTATATGGTTTTTGTTTTTCATTTTGGACACCGGCGGATGTGGCATGTGCCACGGCTCCCCAAGGAGGATGTTCTTCTCCTTCCACCCAGATACCAACTATACTATACGTTCGACTTGGAACCAGACTGTTTAGCATATTCATTGTTGATTGCAGTGCCATGATAATTATCATTCCTCCGTTGGAACTACAGCTGGCTGATGTTCTGCCTTTAATTACCTTCCTCTTCTGGCTTTGGCTTTTGCATAATTGCATTGTTGTTGCCGAAATCGTCATTAGAATTTTTATTTGCACAATAATCAACTCGTTCCAAAGTCATAAAAAAAGAACCAAAATAACACCTCCTACCACCCCCAAACCCGAGCCAAAGTGCATTGTTTTTGTGCAATGGCAGAGAATTTTTTTACGAGAAGCAACAAACTCCGAACCAGAACAATGAGATCTAAATGCGTTTATCAAAATGTTTGCGGTCTGTTTGCGGGAGTTTTTTATTAGGTGGGATTAGATGGGAGTTAGAGGGGGGTTAGCTATTTCGTTACCAACAGAAAATGATGATGACGGGGTGGCTTCACCGCCGGATAATCCATTGGCCAAGTGATGGATTAACTGGCCGAGATGCAAAACGGATTACAGCCAATGGCCCTTGATCCAGTTGGCTTGGAAGATAAATTAAATTTACAAAATAAATTTGCATTTATCTGCCGACTGGACAAGAGGAATAAAAGGATTTCCTCGTTGATTAGAATCTATGATAAATTATTGGAGCTATCCATAGCAATACAGTTGAAATTTGACCAAAAACAAAACCAACTCAAAAATGTAAAATTTTTCAATTTTTAAGATGGTAAAACTCAAATAGCTACGCCAATACTTGACGGATCCTGAAATGTTATACCTTCCCGACCTCAGAACTTTGAGTAGCTCCAATCTGTATCAAAACATGGCAATACAAAAATTAAACCTTTTTTCGCAATTTTTTCAAGGGGTACCATCATGATTTTTGCCAAAAATTAACTAAAATTTTTTTTGCTGCACTTTTCTATTCTTTTGATGCAGATCGATGGCGATAGAAACTGTGACTCGCAAATGGTATTCCGTTTTTGAATAGGTTTTTAAATAATAAAAATATTTACTAAAAACTGTATGGAAATATTCGATTTCAGCCAAATAAATAAATGTCAAAAACGTGGTACCATTTTTCAATTTTTTAAATAGAAAAATGGGTATAACTCGGCGAATACTTGGCGGATTCAAAAACCTTATACCTTCCCAATTAAGGGGCTTCGAGTAGATTCATTCTGTATTAAAATCTGGCAAAAAAAAATTTGACCAATTTTTTTTCAATTATTTCAAGGGGTACCCTCATCATTTTGGCCAAAAATTACTAAAAATGTTGTTGGTTTTAATTTTTAGATTTTTTTATGAAGATCGATGCCAATTGGAACTGTGATTTGTAAATTGTATTTCGTTTTATAATAGGTTGTCAAACAGTCAAAATATTCGCTAAAAAGTGTCAAAAAAAAGCTTTAGTTTCAACCAAAAAAAAGTTACCAACGTTGTTTCAATTTTTCAAACGGAAAAATATTTTTTACTCATAGAATTCCGATTATTATTGGTAATGTATAGGTTTCCCTAAACGATCTAGGCATTAAAAGAAAACAACAAACGTTATTTAGTTTACAAATTTAAGCCTTAAATACAAAAAACTCATTAATAACCTTTTAAAAGTGAACCTCTAATTGTATCACATTTGAAAACCGTGCTCTGTTTAATGTTTATTTACTATCGATTGTAACCAGAGAGCAGCCAACACTTGTGGTTAAAAAACGATCACTTAGAGGTCAGCTTCGAACGACCCTGATGTAATGGCATTAAAAGTGTAATCCAGTTCTCCGCACAACCGAAGACGCTTTGAGTCCGCTTCGCCACTTCCCAGAGCACATTAAAAAACATTTCTAAACCAATTTAATAAATTACAGCATTATGCCCATTAGGCTGCCAAAAGAATGGAAACGGAAAAGCTGGGACAGAAGTGTCATATCATAGAGACGGGAAGCCGACATTTATAAGCCACATAATTACCTGATCATTGTTTTCGTCACGTATTAAACAATTTTCAGCACCAGCCAGCTAAAATGAAGAAGCTCTGGGGACTCGACGATGATGATGCCTCTGAATGGGTATGACCTTCGAGCGGGTAAAAGTCAAGGTCGAGCTGAGTAAATTACCGCAAGCCCAGCGTGTGAAATCATTGGAAATTAATGATAGTTGGGGGAGGTTCGAGATCTTCTGGTCAAATCGCTTTATTGTCGATTAGGAACAAATCAATTGGGAAACCAGAAACCTGCCGGAGAAATACTTCAACCACGACCAACGCCTAATGATAATAAGTTATTTTACGAGAAGTCCATAAGGCAACTCTTGCCCATTTTCAGTGGCCTGGTATCGGCATTTTATGGAGTGCAGTGCAACTGCAACCAGCACTGTGCTGATTAAGGGAATTTCTCACACAATCCAACCGACGCCGAAACTCGCTCACAAAACTGAAAACTGAAAACTTCAAACCAAAAACTAAGCCACGAAAGACGTTTGGCAATGCTCGACTGCAAATGCAGTGCTTTTCTCGAAGGTGAACCAGAATGCGGTTGTCAGCTCCGACTCCGTCTGGGTCCCAGCCAGGTCTTGGGTCTCCGGTCTCCACTAGCCTCCGTATCTGTTTTGGTTTCTGTCGATGGCGATGTCTCAGCCATCCAGCAATTGAAGCGCACTGAATGAACCGGATTGCCACCGGATTGTGCACATCTTTTGAAAGTGAGCGGCTGCGACTCAGACTCCGACCCAGACTCCGCACTGCGGCTGCATCAATTCTAGAGCAAATGAATGTCTCTTGCCAAAGGCAGCGATGAAAATTTATTGCAGCATTTTATTTTAATTAGTCTAATTTATGATAATTTTTGCAAATCGAAATTAAATGCTGTCAGAGAATGAGGAAAACGGACAGGAATTGCACAAGTTGCATCCGTTGGGAGTAGCTGAAGGTTGTGATGGGAATCCCTTCCAATTACGAAATGAGAGTAAATATATTTAAAGCTAGAAATAAAGTTTACATATTTTTTATATATTTTTTTTAGAATTTTTCGAAATTTTTTTTTTAAATATTCCTTCTACTTCCAATATAACCATATAAATATTAAACCTACCACATTTTAACTTCTTAAAGTCAAGTTTAAATAATAGCTATTATTTACGTTTAAATACTTTCCTTTTCTTCCTATTATTGCTACCCCGCTACGCTTTCCGCTTATTTCATTTTTCGAATCAATGCCAATCTAGTTCGTTGCCTAAGTCTTTCGTTTATCCGGCGCTAATGAGCGACAAACATTTCGCACTAAGCTGGCGACAATTAAATTGAATTGCCGTTAAGTTGGCCAAGTGGCATCATCAATAAGCTGAAATTTGCACTAATTTCTGTGCAGCTTTTTGCAACAGAGCCCCCGAGTCCGAGCAAACATCAACAAACCGCGAAAACAAAACAAAAGCCGATACAATACGATATCGTATTGAATACAAAAACAGAAAAATTCCCCCGAACTCTCATGAATGAGAGAAGTGCCGAGTCTTCACAAGATTCACGATGATTTAGATTTTCCAGCTTCAGCTTCAGCTTCGGCTCTTGGCCACGATGAGGTTGCTCTTTGGCAATTCCAGCGCCATGACGCGATGGATTTGGCCGCTAACCACCAGCCTCGCTCATCTCTAGAGAGCCGTCAGGCCGAAGAACGAGCCGAGCACCGCACCGAGTATAAAACTAAAATTGATGCGAATTTTTTTACAACTTTTGTATCAACTTCAAACGCGGCAACACGTGCAGAGCTCCAACGCCAGCTCAGCTCCTCCGATCCGTGAAACCATTTGAAGTGAGTCCGTGCGATCCGATCCCCAGAGATACGAGATCCGATCAATAAATAAAAAGTGTGTGCTTTGTGTGCGCGGCTAAGTGCGTGGCATTCAAATTGTGTGCTGAGAGTTGAGCAATAAATTACGCAAATTGGTTCCCATGGGGTGCTGCTCCTCATAGGGGTACACAAAATAAGAATGAAAGTGTGTTTGTTTTTTCTAAACAAGGAGTCCTTTGGAACTTACCAACAAACAGGATAATCTTTATACATTTTTTTTAAACACAAACTGATTGAAAAGGGGGCATATGTACTCCTTAACCTATGACTTTCAATTTTGAATGAGAATCCTTCACAAGGATAATCTAGATCAAATAGGAAATCCATTTTATTTATTTTAAAATACCCAATAAAGGCATAAATTGAATATATTGATATTTAACTGAATACATTTAAAAGTAATTTTTAAAACAATTCATTGAAGAGAGAGCCCAATCTAATTTTTAGGATAGTTTTCTGGATATAATAAAACAGATCTACTTAAAAAAGTCTCCAAACCTTCAAAAAACTTTAGTTTATTCCTTAAGCTTGCTAACAAAAAAAAATAAACGATAATTTGGTCATTCTACCGGTAAACAATTCAAGTTATTATCAATTAAGATCCCCAAGAAGCATCCCCTGAATGCCCCCCTCACAAAAAAGTGAATGCTGCAGCTGCAACATCGCAGCAACATCCATTAGGCATTGCGGTTGCCTCCTCTCAGCACTCGACCCCAGCATAATAGACATGTATATATAAAATCTAATTATATGCCGCATAAGCCAATAAACAGAAGAAGAGGCTGCGTTCAAAGTTACCTTTCTAAAAAAATAAATATCTACAAGAAAAACCGAAAACTGAAAATTAATATCTTCAACCCACTCGACTCGTTTTCTTTCGATTTTCGTTTTGTATTTTTTAGATAATAACGAAAAAAAAATCCCATTTAAATTACGTATTACCAAAAAATCACAAAAAAAAACAAAATCACAGACATCATGGCAGCGGCAACAAAAACAACAAAAGTAAGCAAATCACCGCTGCAACATGAAAAGCCGCAGCAGCAACATCACAGACGGCAGCAGCAGCAGCAGCATCTTCAGTGGAGCCTTTGCATTTTGATAGTCGTGTTCGGATTGTTTTCGCTGCTGGCAGGGAACTGTGTCAATGGGGTAAGTCGACCTGGAGCTGGAGCCACCAACTTCCCGATCTCGAGCCCCGAATCCCTTGATCCCTCATACCCCGCAACCTTCCTTTCCGATGTCTGTTTAGTTGGCTTTTATGGCCAGCAATTACTGTAAATATTATTTGATGTGGCCCATAAAAAGAGTTTTTACCAGCCTGGGAAATGGCTTATTGAATAATTTGGCTCTGCAGTATCTGAACATTGATTTGACAACTTCATTGGCCGTCTCTGTTACCATTTGTCTGGCTGTCTGTCTGTCTGAGAGTATCGTTGCTGTATCAACATGGGCAGCAACATGGCCTACACACGCAAAAAAGTGTCATCTGAGATAATTTTGTACATTCGTTCCGAGTAAAAAGATTGCGCACACCATTTGTCTCTTGTTTGATAGGGATCTGAGCCAGCAACAGCCGCAACAAGAAGAAAACAACAGCAACATGCAACAACAAACTCCCACGGCAGCAACAATTGTTGCCCAAAAAAAAGAGCTGCTGGCTCTGGCCATCTTCCCCTTCCCGCATGCGGCATGTTGCAGTGTTGCAAGTGCAGAAGACCCCAAAGAAGCTGCAGATGAGCAGACCCCGAGGGGGGTGTAGCCCAAACACGAAGCCGACAACCTGTCTGCCAAAGTGTTAGACAACTTCTCACGTCCCGGCCAAAAAAAAAAGATGCACATTCGAAAAAGTAAACTAAAAGCTGCCTCTATTTCTTTTCCTAAGAAGGTGTCGTCATGAGTCTTTCTTCCACTGATCGATACTCTTTTTTAAAAAGGGTTGTTTGGTATTTTAGTAAAAGGGATAATTTTTCCAAATCATATAGTAGAAAACTTAAGGTTTTCTAAAATAAATAGAGCATGAGAAATCTTAAGAATCTTCTCTTTCAACTGACATAATAAGCATATAAAGAATGATATTTTGTTATAAATCTCTTTAAAAGAATTCATCAAGATCCAGACACAAGAAAAATATATAAAAAGGGACATCAAAACTTAAAGAACATCTTAAAATCCAAAGAAGAGTAATCCCTTTTCGTTATCCAACCACAAAAGACGGGAAAATACCTGTGTTACATTATCAATTAGCCTTGGTTGCCCCGCAGCCGTGCTCGGCAAACAAAAATAAAAGGAAAATGCAGGGAAAATTAACCATTTTTCCATTTTCCAGCTGTAGCTGGAGATGTCCAAAGCTGGCTTAGACTCGTCTGCATGGCAGCTAGTTGGTATTTAAAGGAAAATGCTCTGGCCAAAGGTTGAGAGTGGCGGGAATAATTGTTGCTAGAGGGTAAAAGGGGGGTGAGGAGACGAAGTGGGCGGTAGGTGGTAGGTGGTGGTTGGTGGGAGGAATATGGGGTACTGGGCTTAGAGTTACATCTTGTCTGTTTTTTTTTTGGGTTACTGAGCCATTGGGCGGTTTATGGCGTTTGCTTTTGTTTGCAGTCTGGTTTGCAGTTGGAAATGTTAAAAAGCCCAGGAAAGATATTAGCGTGAAAATTGCAAGTGATTTAGAAAAAGTTTAAGCCCAAAAAAATAGGAGGCTAAAATGGAGATCAAGCTAAAGAAGAGTATGGCAGGATAATACGAGGGTTTTAAAGACTTTAAATATATAGATTGTAGAACTACTATTATAGTTATTATTTGATTTTTGTTATTTTATAAAATCAGTTTAAAATAAATAAAGATTAATGTTAAAAATTCTCTGTTTACAAAAGTTGAACTCTTAATACAGTATTACATTATCTTCTCTATACAAAACCTAAAAAAACATCTCCCTATTCCCATCCCATCAAACTCTGCACATTGCCAATCACAATCACTTTCGGCCTGTTCCAACATCTTCAATTAGCATAAACTCAGCATTAACCCAAATAGACAGGCGGCTTTAACCCCTTGAGGACCCGAAGATGCAGCCAAAGGGAGTGAAATTTATTCGAGCGTAACGCCAGCGCCGGAGGCAACAATGGGAAACTGCATTTCGGATCAGAAATTGAGGCAAGATCAAGATAGATGCCACGATGGGCGAAGATGCAAGATGCAACGAGGGGGCGGCACAAATGAGACTGGAAGGGTTTGGATAGATTGGACTGGAAAACTATATATCCCCAGAAGAGTCTCAAGGGGTTACAGATGGGTCACACATCTGGTGTGTGTTTTGTGATCCGTGTTGCCTCAAGTTTATTGTTTTATTTTGCTCTTTTGGGCTTTCATGGTTTCGTACGCATGAGATTGACAGTCGGTTGTCACATAGAAGCCTCTCCTCCCCTCTGGCCCATTGCCCCTTCCCCCTGGGTTATTTGCAACTATTGCAAGTGCACAATTTTCAACACTCACTGGTTCTTTTGTTGGTTTTGTTTTTTTTCCCCCCTATTTTTTTTCGACAGTTTTTTGTGTATGTGCTTTTTGGGTTGTTGCATTTGCATTTTAAATTCGTTGTTTGTGTGGCAATTGTTTCAAATTTTAATTTGTTATTGTTTAGAGTTCATTTTGTTGGTGCTTGAGCAATGTGTGGCTGCCACCAGGCATCACCTACCCCACCACCACCACCCACAATTGAAGGTCGCTGGCTAGCTGAGATAATTCACACGAGAGCATCCATAGCAGCCATAAAGTCATAATATAATTCCATATTTTGTGGTTGAGAGATTCGCCATTAAGTGCATTACAATTTAAAATAAAATTTGCATTGTAACTGATATGAAATGGGGGTTAATAGTATGCAGGTTGCAATGTAGGTTAACGATTTGTCTAATAATCTATGCTCGCTTTTCTATTCCCCAGCAAATTGATGGCTATATTGCTGGAGAGGATTATCCTGCCTATGACTCAGTGCCCAAGGGTTTGGCTTTCAACTGCCAAGGACGTCAGCCTGGCTACTATGCGGATACAGAGACCCGTTGTCAGGTGAGATCTTAGTCCCTCGACTATCTCATTAATAATGATTTAATGTTAAACTATGATATCCCCCTAGGTATGGCATTGGTGTCTCCACTCGGGCCACCAGTACTCGTTCCTCTGTCCCAATGGAACAGTCTTCAACCAGGCCGTCAGAGTATGCGATTGGTGGTCGAACGTGAACTGCGCTGGATCGGAGCAACTATACCAGAACAATGACGAACTGTATCGCATCCCCGAGCGCCAACAGGCGGCTAATGATGTATGATATGAGGCCGATGATGAGTATAAGATTGGGACAGCAAACGGAACCAGACAGCGCGGCGGCAGACAGCGGCAATTTCAAAAGCAACAACAGCAGCAACAGCAACATCAGCAACAGCAATCACTCAACAACAATATAAGCAGCAACAGAATCGTAGATAGCAGCAACTACAATAAAATGACCAAAAATAGTTTTAGAGGTAGCATGAGATTTACCACACCAAGTACCAATCCTCAATCGTCATACTCATCATCACAGCAGCAACAGCAACAGCAGCAACAGCAGCAGCAACATCAGCAGTATCAGCAACATAATTCTAGTAAAAATAGCGAAAGGAAATCAAAGCCTAGCAGTAGCAATAAGCCCAATAGAGTTAGCCATAGAGATAGGGAAAACCACCAAACTAGATCTAGGAATCGCACTAACAATAGCACCCAGCCAGGCCAGAAGAGGAAGAATCCCAACAGCAATACTAACCCACAACAACACAGCAACAATAACTCGCGAGGAAAACAGCGATACAACACAAATCGATTCGAAAATGATGCAGAACTCAAGGACTACAAGAGCAAGATCAAGAACAAATACAACATCGATTATGATCATTCTTTGGATGAAGAATATGAAATAATTGAGGCCATTGAATGAGTAAAAAAATAGCTTTGTTCTTGTTGTTGTTGTCTCACAAAAAAACTCTGAAAATTGGCGCTAAAATAACAATCATTCGAATGTTTCCCAAAATTATCTTTTGTAAATAAACATAAAACACTGTCATTGTTAAATACACACAAAACATTTCATAAAACTATAAAATTGTAAAAAAATATAGAGATTGTGATTAAAACACAAAGCTAAATAAAAAATTTAAAAAGTGAACGTTGTTTTTAAAGCAGTTTTAAGCTTAAACTGCTTGTTAGTGATGACACCAAGGTTTATCATGGCCAAGCACCTTAGCCGAGACAAGCTCCAATCAGAGGCGGTTTAAATTATGAAAACAAATTATTTAAAACGAGAATATTGTTTATAAAAACAATACACTTTCACAATAATTTAATAAAATCTTGTAGATTAAGTTATGCTTTAGTTAAGTCAAGTTATTAAGACTCTTTAAAGGGTTCTTAAGACTTAGAAGGCGTGTTAAAAAAATAATTTCCATGATATTTTATCACGAAAAAGCTACCAAAACAGCTGAAGTCTGACTTTGGAAGCGATGTTGAAAAACGTAAAAACATTTAAAAAATAGCTTTAAAAGTGTTGAAAAACAAAAAAAGGAAGCAGATGATCATATGGCTTTTTAAGCTTTTGATCCGACTGGAAAGAAGAAGAAAGATAATTTGTGCCACCTCTAATTGTGTTTTTTGTTAAATGTTTTGTAGATTATGGATTAGGAGATAATCGACTTGTAAGTACAGCAAACGATGATCTTTAGTCTGATGAAACTTTGGACTTTGAGGGGATTACTTTGGGAGTACCCTAAATAGTAAAATCAAACCTCACCCCCTTGAACTAACAACTTTGAGGGAAATGTACACAAACGAGGCCTAAATGGCCGGTGAATGTTGACTTTTTGATGTTGAACTGGGAAGAGGAACTAGACAATGGTTGGCAAACATAATAGATTGTCTAATCGCCCTTCACTGGATTAACATCTCTGCTAATGGTTTTTTAAGAAAATGTAGGTGGCATTGCCTCTATAGGAATTGGAATAAAAAAGTTTCCTTAAACAAGATCACTTATAAGAGACATTAACCCTTCAAAAAAGTGTTGACTTTTTCCATAAAACGTAAGCCAAACACCTTCTCTAATCTCCACCAGATGATTTTATCCGTAAACCCCCAAAACCAAAAACCCAAATCCATTTCAACACATTCAAAATTTAAATGAGGAGGAAAACGGGGCAGAAGAAGTAGTTCAAGTTTTGTATGCCACAACGGGAGACTCCATTTCCGCGTACAACACTCCGAAGTAATCACTGGTAATTATATACCATATATACACCAAATACACCTACGCAACTCCAGTCGCTCGTGCATAAGATATAAGCCTCCAGCTGCGATGCGGAAATATCGCTTTTTAACCAAATGAACTGGCCAAGTAAGACACATAAAATCAAAATCAAAACCAAAACGAAGCCAAAAACCTAATTAAAAGTCAATTTCAATTTCAGTCATTAACCGAAACCCGAAAAACCCGGCCCGGCGGGTACACAAATAGTTTGTGACATACTTTTGGTATGACACTTGGTCTACCGACCCTACCCCCTCTATTTTTTGTTCAAGCCACCTTGTTGCAACGGAATTATAAATCACAAAATGTTATTTTTCTTGACCGTTCACCGGTGGTCACCCACATTCGTTTTTCCCTCCACTTCGGTGCACGCTTTTTAATGGGTTAGACGACAGCAACAAAGAAACTGGTAACTGGAGTCAAGTTAACACCATTTGCATTATGTAAGGAGCTTAAACAATATTTTTGGCCCTCATATGTTTTTTTTTTTTTGTGTCTTGGTCTCTTTGTTACGGGCTGTGGGTTGTGGGAAGTGTCCACTAATTAATATGCAACTAAATAATTTACAATGTGACGCGAATTTCATGCAAAATATTAGCAGAAATACGAGACAGTCGAGGAAAAGAGGGCCATATATAAACGAGAAATTATTTAATTAACTCGACTTGAAGATGTTGAGAAATTGTCTTCAATAAATTGCGCAAGTTTAATTTATTTACGAGATGTATCTACAATGATATTCAAGAACTTTAAATGCTCTTAAAAGAAATTTCTTAAAAAAATATTTGTAAGTTTTAAGAAACTGGAAACTTTGTTAAGAAATGTTACTGTTTTAAAGGACTTTTTCAAGACAGTTTCTAAAGATAGAACCTCTCGAAATTGAAGAGCCATCGTCCAGAGAATAAAAAGCAGAGTAACCGATTCGGCAAAATGTCAGAAGGTCTCTCAAGGTGTCTGGCTCTGGTCTCGAAAAACCGGTAGATCTCGTCTGCGTCTCGAATCTCCATGAAGAAGAGTCTTCTGCGAAATCTTCTTGTCCATTTGCCGGCCGACCTGTCACAACGAATTCTCCTCCAGCCTCCGGTCTCCAGCCACTCGGTCTCCGCCGAGTCATGGTTGATTTTATGCGACAGTTCAACTTCAGCATTTGCCATTTTTTGCAGGAAGCGTCCCAAAATCCTCCCCCCGCCTGCCTCCGAAGGCTATTCATATTACCATATTTGCAACTGGTTTTTGTATATGTTTTTTTAAAAAAGACCACTGCAGTTTGGGATTTTTTTCTGTTTCGCATGCGTTTTGAAATTAATGCAAAACATTTCTGCGATCTGGCAGCCGGAGGCTCAATACCCAGTGCCGGGGCTCCCGAACAGGTCCCCCGTCGGTTGGGGCTGAAGTTGATTTGTGTGCTTAGTATAATTGCTGCGATTATCGAGTCTCCGAAGAGGAGTCTACGCAGTTGTCGGTTGGGTAAGGTTAAGTCGGTTTGCGTTTAGCGATTGTCAAGTGTATTCAAATCCGAAAGATGCAATCTCCCCCGAGTTTTGACTGGGGTTTGTCTCGTCTTGACGACTGGCAAATGCCAGTGGCGTGGGCCAGTCACAGGGGGATCTGCGATATGAATCAAAACTCAAATAATCATCACCACCAAGGTTGAACTAGCAGGTAGAGTGGACGTCACAGGTGACTGATCTTTGATCCATTTTGATTGGATCTCTTGAATCGAAAATGGATTGACCAACAAGTGGGATTAGAGACGTTCATTACCAAGGTCGTGGGGGACTGGACACTTTAAAATTTATTAACATCATATAAGGTCAATGTTTCAGTCAAAAGTGTAATAATTTTTGATGAGTTTATTTTGGGAACACACGAAATTAATTGACTTAATGAGTGGTAGAGGGAAATTGATAATGAGTTTCTGTATAAATTTTTGAATATTAAAAGGTATTAATTATTTATGAAGAAATTAGCAAAATGTGTGCAGTACATCATATTTTTTCATTAACCTTTAACATTTATTTTTTATTACAAAACCTGGGCTTGATTCCAAGGTTTCCCCTTGGACAAATTTGATCTTGTTTCCCGTCCTAACCATTTATATATTTCGATTTAAATATTCAATTAAGGCAAACACCAATTTCCTATGCAAATCAAGTAATCTGACCTGCCCCAAGACCCATGAGATATCCATCCCATCGGTCACACCTTGTGCTCCAATTTTTTGGATCACTTTTTCGCAATCCAATTTGTTTACCCTTTCGTTCATCTTTTTGTGTCTCTCTAATTAATTTTCGATCAAATTAAAACGAAATTTGTTTGTATGGCGTTTCAGGGAGCTGGAAACTGAAGACCGAGACTGAAACCGAAGCCGAAAATGATTTTAAATCTCTAAAAACAACGGCGCTGAGAAAGAAAGAAAGGCCACAAAAGGCCCCCCTAAATAATAGAGCCGTGCTGCTCCACAAAAATTAGCATAATTAAGGTGCCTACCCAATGGCTGACCATTGAGAGATATCGAGAAAAACACGCACTTTTGTGCCGCGATCATCAACACTATCGAATGCAAATGAGCCCTCAACGACGGAGGCGACATCACTCAAGAGCCGAAAGCGAAATGTGCATCATCAAGCCCCAGACCCGAAAGCCAGACTCCAAAACTTTGAGCTAGCCATTGCATAATAGGGCCCAGGCTGCGCCAGCTAACCGAACACGACCTCATTTACAAAATCGCAAGCTTTGATCAAACAGAAACTACACAACAAAACTACAAAAGTAAATAAGTAAATAAAACTAAAAAATACACAACAGACTCCACGTTTTGCATGACGTATACGCAACGTGGGCCGCAATAATGGATCTAATGGAGCTGCTGCATCAGCTGGCCTGGAATGTCTTCGATATCTTCAAGATCTACATCAAGTTTGCCCTGCTCACGCTGGTCTTCTACCTCATAGCCGAGTGGTACATCCTCCGCTACGGAGCCGAACTGGAGGCCCAGCTGGACGCCCATCTGGCGGAGGGGGCTCCGTTGCGTGAGGGATCCCCCGAGGAGCGGCCCGAATCGAACAGCACCCTGAGCAAGGTGCTGCGCTTTGTGGTGAACTTTTTCATCCTTTAATCGAGTGACGGATCGGGCCACTCAATCGAACTCGCTCACTCAATCACAAGCTCATGGCGACAAGGTCAATCTCATCGGCAGCTGAATCGGTTTATGCGATTTTGTGCTTTTATTTCGCGGAATTGCAATTCGTTTCAGCTACCACATCTCAAGGCCCCTCCCCGTCAAGAGAATGTAACCGACCACTTTTGATACAATCGAACCAGTTGCATTTAACCAAAAGCAGAAAAACAGAAAAACAAAATCAAAAGCCACCAAGTAAACACAATCTTTATATGTAATAAACAATAACAATAAGGAGCTGAACAAAAAAACAAGTTAAGCGACTTTTTATTTCGAAGGGTACCCAGGAGGGGGAGATACATATAGTATGGGAAATATACTTGGTACCTCTTGAGTAAGCAAATAAGAATAACTCGAAAAAAAGGGTGAGGCTGTCACGTATTTGGGCTAATTACTGAATAAGCCAACAAGAATTTTTGAGTTAAAAAGTTAAGTACCCATAAGGATATGCAAATGTTTTGTTTAACAACCTTTCTTTGTGCGATCCTTGTTATTTTTCAGTTACCACCTCTTTTTGAAGTGCTTAAAATTTGCACAAAATTGCAGTTTTTATCAGGAGTTATCTAAAGCATTTGATTGGGGAGTGGGGCGTCTATTGATCGGTGGTCGACCAGTTAAGTAGTAGTTACAACACGTAGTAAGCTACCTGCCACCAAAGTGGAATACCGGTTCAACAAACCGTCGACCCACACAACCGCTCACGAAAAAATATAACAGACACATAGACTCGGTAGCCAGGCGACACGGTGCTCTCATTCTCATACGAAACAGATACAGATACGGATACACTTACAAGATACAGGAGGGGGAAGACATAGATATACAGATACCTAAATCTGAAACCGAAGGGGGCATGCATGCGTTTGTGGCAAGATGTGAGGCACACGCCGTTAGAGATAAAAAAACACTCGACAATTCCGCATGCTACAGATACAGATACAGATACCGACTTACGAATATTGTGGCCCAGAGCCAGGCTATGTTCCAATTTGAATACGTTACCAAGTCGTTACCAAGTCAGCCGTCTAAGCGGTAAGTTCAGTTCAGTTGAGTTAACTCGAGTGGAGTTTAGTTTTCGAATTCAACTTTCACATGCTATGCGGAACGAGCGCAGATGCAGTGCAGTGTTATTACTATTAATGCTGTGGCTGCTACTAGTACACTGAGAGAAATAATTGAAACTAATTTTTAAAGAAGAAAAAGGAAGCAGAGGTCCTAAATCATTAAATCTTGAAACCTAACCTGCAGACTGATTAATTTTATAATTATAATCCTAATAAGACTTTTCTTTATGTGTATTATTAAGCCAATGCTACAGTACCTTGTGACGTAATAAGACCTGAAAGAGACAGCTGCAGATAGACCGAGTTAAGGCCAGAAAGAGATAAGGCCAAAAGCAGCAGTGAACGGTGCTTGATTGATTCCATTATGAGGAGGGTGCCGCGAAATGGTTTGCATTATTTTGCATTCGAAACGAATTTCGATCTGGTTGCGAGTGAGTTAGGCATTTGGTCAATGAATAGGCTCTTGGCCATAGCAAAGTGCAGTCTTGACCAACTACTGTTGGCCGGCCAGGCATTTAATTGCCAAACGAAGCGAGCCACTGAGCGGCTGAGCGACCGAACGAACCACGCGGCGTATGCGCAATAATTCATGAGGCGTTTAAATAATTTTTGTTTTTATTTACTGCTCTGTGAGTGTATTCGAGTGTGCGTATCTGAGTGGTTGTGACTAATGCGTTGGCAGATGTCTTGAGTTCGTTTTGGGCCAACGCGGTTCATTAATTGAACTGTAACCGTAATTTGGTTGTGTTATTGTTACCATTATGTCATTGCGGTCAGGCGAGTGAAAGAGGGAGAGAAAAGCATTTAAGCCACTAAAAATAAACAATGCACACCGGCATTTTAGTTGCTAAATCGATAATGGATCATGATCCATTGGTTAAATAATCAGTAATCTATTGTGGGGCATTCAATTAAGGCATTAAAAATATTGGGGATATTTAAAAAGCATACAATTAAGAGTTAATATTAAGAGAGATAAGAGAATTTTATAAATATTTTTTCTAGAATAATCCTATTTATTATTCAAAATTAATAAGCCATATATACCTAGCTGTAGCTCACACTTGCCCACCAACTGCTGTGATAAGCCCGTATTAATTTCTGTTACATTTTTTCCATATTTTGCAAGAAATGAGACAAAAAGGTCTGAAAAAAAAATCTTAATAAATAAACCTGTTAAGCACGATTATCGAGCACCCGCCAAGCCAGCATGCCCCAAACGCAGATCAAAGTCAGCCAAAGCCACGCAAAGTCAAATCAAAGACAAGAGCAAATCAAAAGCAAAGCCCAGCGATTGCAGAATGCTGCCAAAGGAAAATGACAAAGTCAGACAGTCAGGGAAAAGCTTCGATCGGAGAGCCAAAGAGAGTCTCAAGCGGCTCTGCGAAGACTCGGCTTCGCCGAAGCGGCAATAAACCTGTTTTCCTGAGCCACAGTCGCAGACGGACCAAAATTAGCGAGCGCCAAAGCTTTCAGCGACAACAAAAAAAAAGACAAAAACCAAAAGCAAAACTCAAAAAGCAAAAGACAAAAGCAAAGCCAGCCGAATTCCCATTTTTATGCCAACCCCGGGTTGGCCAATACGATCTGCAATTTCAGTCTGCAAGCGGTCAGCCAGGTGAACGGCAGCCAGCACAGCTGGGCACTGAGTAAGTGGGCGTGGCAGGCGGCAGTATCAGCTACCGATCGAGTGCATATATATATTTTATATATATATTCGTATCCAAAGACGTCGACGGGTCTCGTTGTGCGTGTGGTGTGTGGAAAAGTGTGTGTGTTTTTGGCTTAAACAAGATGGAAAAATTATATAAAATAGTGAAAAAAATTAATGAAAAATTCAAAATAGTGAAAAAGTAGTGTTTTAAATCAATGAGAGTAGAAAATCCTTTTGAAATCCCTTGAATCTGGAATAGCTTTTCCTTTGAAATTAAAAACAAATAACCGCAAAGACTGTTACAAAATCAGCAAAACAACAATAAAAATTTCCACAATTACACCAACACAACCACACTTAATACAAATACAGACACAAAGAAAACTGCAACATGAATACCAATACAAGTGCAGAGGAAAAACATAAATGATTTTCCTTTGTATAAAGTATGTGCGATTTTTCTTGTGTTTTGCTTTTGTGTGTGGTTTTGTATGAGTGTGTGTTTGGCTAAAATTTTTATTGTTCATCATTTAGAGGACCCATTAAATAAAATTCAAATAAAAAAAGCATCTGGAAGTTTGAAAATCAGAGATAATCAGCCCTAGCAGATAATAAAACTAATGCGAAGACATTAAACCTTAATTGTGGATTATAAAGTCAACAAATTTCGGACCATCAATAAAAGGTAAGTGAGTTGGATCATTAGTAATAGGTCTCAGGGGTCTTAGGGATTTATGTTCATGTCAAACACCTCCAGTGGGGTGTATAGCACCTCTATTTTTTGGAGTTTTGCTTTTTACCAACCATTAGCGGGCAACTCTCATGGCCAAAAGAGCGTTTTGCAAAACACAAAAGTGATCTCAGGCGTTGCTAATTATTTCTCTGCGTCTTGTACGTATTGTTAGCCACCCCTCCGCCCCCCACCACCCTTCGCCCTAGGCCATCCGCCTCCGCAGACACGCCCCCTGGGGACCTCCTATATTTTTGCAGATACAGTTTATATTGGTGTTGGTGTGAAGAGATGTTCAAATTGTTCGAGCATCTTCAGCCAACAACAACGAATATGGCCAACATAACTAAGCCAAGATTTTACTTTCATCATCAGCAACACAGCAACAACAAACAACAACAACAACAAACAAGAGGCAAAGCAACATCAGCAGCAGCCACAAGCAACAAATGAAATTTTGAAATTTTACTTTCATCCATCTCTCGACTGAAATGTTTTATTCGGGCGCTTTTCACTCTCGATTTCTTTGCCATCTTCTTTATAATCTATCTTTCTTCTTTTTCTACTAGTGCAACATTTTAAGTTTTTCCACAATTAAGCCAAAAGTGTTAACAATAATACTTTTTTGGCTAATTGTCCCAGAGCGGCAGAAGTTGAATAATCACTCAAGTGCCTGGGAACTGAACTCTCTGGGTGTTCGGGTCAGCGAGGTTGGCCAACTAGATGAAGAGTTTTAGCCATATTTTAGCCTATTTTAGCCAGTATATAAGACAAAGTAAATGCAAAGAAAAGACAAAATACAAATTGATTTTGATTTCTGTGTGTGGCCAAAAAGGAAATTCAGTTTTCACTTGCCACTTGCCAATCAAAGCGTTGGAAAAGCCGTGAAAAGTTGGTAATGGGTGACATGTTGGCCAAGATTTAGGTTAAAGATAGCAAAATATAAAGCAATTAAAAGGAGAAAAGTGACCAAATTATTGACAAAGTCTGATCAATAGGAATCTATACTATTTCTGGGTAATTTTATAAATATTTATCAAGGCTTCCAAGAACTAAGATTAGCGTTTAAGCCAAACAATTTATTGCCGTTAGTCATTCAAAGTGTTAAACAAGTTATGGTCGGCTGCTCCTAATTAAGTCTTTAAGAACTGGCTTCCCCTTCCTGTGAACTACATACCTGCGTCAGACAATTAATAATTCATAAACTCATGAAAACAAACAAGAAGTTAAAACGTTTAGGGCAAGAGTTTAGGGCACCTATAGACCATAAAACTAAATTAGCCATAAAAAACAAGAGCCATCCGTACCATCAGGTATCTGGGAAATTCTTTGAACCTCCGGTGCATCAATAAACCAAATAAATAGCCAACAATAAGCGACGACCTTGAATGTACGAAAAGCCAAGATCTCATAACCGCTTATAAAGATGCTAATTTCTTGTGACAACCAGCAACCTGTCTGGGCCAGCTGGCAACTGGCTAAGAGAGTGAAATGATGGTAGATGGTAGACTGAATAAAAAAAGCCAACTTCTGCTTCTATCGTGCAACCGGATTGGGGCAACTTGGATCATAAATTTTGGATCGCCAAACCCGTTGCTGACGTCGAAGAAATTTATACGCAAAATATGCCCGAACCCCAGAGATTTGTAAACGAAATCGAGAGTTTGCTTTTGGCCATGATGCATCTCCGACCAACAACCAGCTAATAAAATTATAAACCTATGTTTTAATTGCTCATTGTGGAGGAGGGAAACACGAACATGGCAAGACCTTCATAAGATTCTAGAGGCCTTTTGTTGTTTTGGAGAATCGGCGTCAAGTGGAAAAATTTGCACAGCTTCAAGGAAAACGCAAAGACAGCCGGTGGCCCATAAAAATGTATATTATATGCAAATTCTCCAATTAAATTAATATCAAATAAATTTGGAGGCTCTCGACAAATTGAAATGAAGTTCCTAAAAACCTGATCCCAATTTTATTGTTCTCTTAATTTCCGTTTTTTGTGTTTGTTTTTTAACTGCAGTCGGATATGACTGAAGATACATCAATTAATTCGAAAACAAAAGTGGCAACAACTTGCCGGTATTTGTCATCGTGCTTAGCCTTGAATTTGAACTTGGCCAAGACAATAAGGCCTGCTGCTGCTGCTAGGCATCGTTTCTCGACTCATCTCGCCTCGATCGAATCATTTATTGTCTCGGCTTTTGGCTATCTCCGTGGGCTGTAAAGATTAGATGGCCAAAATAAATAAATTAATATTTCATTTATGAACAATGTGCTGCAGTAAATGGGGGGGTCTTGAGACAAAAAAGCTGAACATCTGAAAAGCAGAGCCATAAATTAACTTGGCACAGGGCAGGCCATTTATCACCAATATCCGAAGACAGCCGATGGCTAACCTGACCTCTACTTTTGGCCAAGAAAATGGGAAAAACTGAGAAACAAATAGGCAGTAGTTGATGAATGGAAGGTCTTGGAACGAATGTGTGGGTTTTTACATACTAATTGCTTGAGAATATATGCATTACACTTGGCAAAGATTTAATAGTCTTACCTTTCAATTGTAATTTTGAAAAAATTGTATGATTTTAATCACGAAATAAACAATACAGGCAAGAACCCTTTGACATTTCAACTGCGACATTCGGCATTCATTTCAGAATTGTTATCTCCGGCAAAGCACAAACAATTATCATATTTTGTCAGATATTTATCTCGGCACTCGGCCCACTCGCTTAACCAAAATGTCAAAAAGTGCAAAGCAGCTGAAACCCAAACAGAAAAACACTCAACAGAAACGACAGCGAGACATCAAATCCAATCAAATCTCCACTTAAAATGCACGACACACTTTTTGGTAAAACAACAAAAAGTTAAACAAACAAATTCAGGCTCAAAACAGGGTGTGAACGTCTAAATCTTTGAACTCAGTGGCCCACCGGGGCCACTAAAATTGCGCATAAATGGTGCGGAGGAGGAGCCATCAAGTATACGCCCCGTATACGTGTGTGTGTTAGCCAAGAAAACCCATCCGAAACAATGCACAATAAAAATAGCCATTTTTTTTGTTTGTATTTCTGGAGAAACAAATTGCATTTTATTTTTGCCTATCGACTGCAAAATTACATTGCTTCAATGATCTTTTCGGCGGCAGGGGAATCAAAAAAAAAAAAACGCATTTTGGAAATGAAAGTTTACTTCTCGCGGTTCCCTTTTCAATTTGTTATAGTTATGCATTGTGTTTATTATGTAGCCAAAGTATTTATTTATTTATTTGCGGCACTCGACAGCTACCGAGCCGAGCCACCCTTCCAATTTCGCTCTCCTTACGTAAGTTAGCCCGGCCAAAAGTGACATTGAAGGCTGAGGCTGCCAAAGCCAAAGCTAATTATGCAATTACCAGAGCCCCGCCGAGTCGGAAATCGAAAAGTGAAGCTGATTAAGTTGTACACAATAAAGTTTACACAGATTGCATTAGTTGATTGGTCGTTTATGGCTCAAAGAGAGTGCCATTTAATAAGAGTATTTAGACATAAGATCTTAAAAGGTATATTGTTTCTATAGGCCACCTCCTTCCCCTTTAAAATTTCACTTATTTTCTTTTACCAAAATCAAGCTAGACCTTAAGAACACTTTCTACATACCATTTTGGAATGAGTGTTTGATTCCCCTATAAATCCATCCCCTATATAGTTTCCACTTTTGCCCACTTGAATGACAAGCACGGAAAGTAACGTTAATCCGAGAACGTGCCGGGCATTATAAATCAATTATAAGTCCAGAACCTTCATTCAAAGGCCCCGAAAGAGGAAGAAAGCCACAGACAAGTCTTTGTAGCGTTCAACGACTCTGCTAGAACATAAATCTTCCACAAAGGTGTGGGCCATGGAGACATGTTTAAATTTCAATATTTACATAATATTTTAAACGGATAATCTGGTCTTTTCAGTTGGCCAGCGAAGATTAAGCCAAAAACCAGAGAACTGAAGCCGTCAAGATGAAAAGAGCCAAAGGCTGGCTGTTAATGACAGCAACAGGTGAGTGGGATTCGATTTGGATCGGACTGGCCCGAAGGACACTCATCCGAAACACTTAATCTTGTTCCTCGAACCGGACCGTGACATAACACCCATCCTGGCCAAAGATGTTATGCAATTTTCTTTTGCGGCATCAGTGAAATTTTTAATTAATTTTAATTTTATTTTCATGACGCGATGGCAGTGCTGCTGCTGAGCCTGCTGGCCTCCACAGAAGCCGCCCTGCCCTTCAAGAAGGTATCCATTGCCAAGACACCCGCCTCCACGAGCAGCACCAGCAGCACCACAACCACCACGGAGGCAGCCGCCGGCGAGGAGGAACTGGAGGAGGAGCAGCCAGCGGTGCCCAGCGGGGAAGGTGCCGACAGTCACAGTGACAAGGTGGAGGAATCGATGTCCATTTTAAGTGAAGTTTTATGTAAATCCATTTATTTTAATAGTCGGACAATGGCACTCTGTCGAAGAACTCCAAGCTGACGGGCATTCCACAAATCGATTACATCTGGGATCCCAATCTACCCAGGGAACTAAGGGGGTAAGATTTTTAAAATATATATATATAAATGGAAAACACATTCAAGAGTCTCTCCTTTAGTTACAACCTCTCAACGTATCCCTTTTTGTCCACTGTCCCGCCCATGGATGAGATCCACTTCGAGTGCCAGGGCCTGCACGACGGCTTCTATGCCTCCATCGAGTACAAATGCCAGGTGAGTTAGCCGGCATGACCTTGTCTGGCCAAAATAGCCACATAACCCAAGCCCCAAGCCCCAAGCCAGAAACCCCAAACCTAGTTGCATGTCCAGTAATTTCTCTTTTGTCGACTGTCTACTGTCGACGTGACGCCAAAAAATAAACTTGTTTTTGCCTCGATCTTGACCTCAAAAGCGGGCAAAGAGAAGCGCTAAACGATGGCTGTTAGCCGGATTAGTTATGGCCAAATGTGATTAACAAATATTGGACTTGTTGCAGATCTACCACCACTGTGTCTACGGCATCAGGCACGATTTTCTGTGCGCCAATTTCACGGCCTTTGACCAGCGCACCTTCATTTGCCACTTTGCCTCCGATGTGGACTGCGAGGGATCCCAGAAGTACTGGAACAGGTAAGTTTCTATTGGGTAATCTTTGCTTTGAACTGTAAATAATAAAGACCTGCTCCAGGAACGATGAACTGTACATGGCTACCACCACCACTTCCACGAGTACCACCACCACGCCAGCACCACCAACGGAAGCCTCTGCCCCGCGTCGACGACCCCAGAGACCTCAGCGGCCTCTGAGGCGCCCCTACAAGCGCAGGCCCATCGATGACTACTATTACGAGGAGGATCAGTATGAGGATGATTACTACGAGGAGCGACCGGTCCGAAGGCCAAAACCCAGACCCCATCAGCGCAAGCACAAGGTGGAGGTGGACTACGACGACGAGTACGACGAGAAGCGAGCGGAGGCGGAGAAGCCACTGCGAAGAAACAGGAATCGTTATCGGGACGAGGAGGAGGCTCCCGAGGAGGACTACGATGAACGGCCCAGCAAAAGGCAGAGGGGCAAAACCACTGCGGGACCATCGGGCCGAAAGGTCTCGCCCCGAAAGCCGGGACGGGTAGAGGAGCGGCGCAGCTTCAATGAGGATCGTCCGCTGGGCAGAAGGCGCATCGAGAAACAACGCACCACGCCCTCATCAGCCTTGGATGACCTGGACGAGTACGAGAAGCCCTATGGCGGAGCGGATCAGGAAGAGGCCGCCGAAGAGCAGACCCCGCAAAAGGTCAAGACCACTCCAAAGCCACTGGCGGAGTTCATCACTCCCAAGGCGGCAGCTGCCTCCGTATACGCCCGTCCTCGTGCTCCTCCCAGGATAGCCCGTCCAGTGCCCATCAACGAAAAAAAGAAGTACTCTTATCCGGTACAGAAAAACACGGCTACCACTCAGGCCCCTTCGGAGGAGGAGGAGGAGTACGCTGATGAGCAGGTGGATGACTACGAACAGCCTCCGGCGAGAAACATACCCAAGAGACGTACTCCGGCTCCACGAGTCGAGCAGAAGCCCACGAGGAACACTCTCCGCAAGCCTGTGACGGAGAAGAAGCCCCTGGAGGAAGATTACTACGAGCCAGCAGAGCAGCCAGAGCCCGTGAGGCCACGAAAACGTCCCCTGGCTCCCCGATCTCGAGCACCGGCTCGTGATGTGGACTTTGAGGATGTGGATTACGAAGAAAGCCCGCCACCGCCTTCCAGCACAGCCGCACCTGCAAGGAACCAGAGATTGAGGGCTAAGACTACCACACGGAAGCCCACAGTGCCACCACGGCCACGTCAGCCGATCGTGGAGGAAGAGGATGAACTGGAACACGCGGAGGAACCGGTGGAGGAGACGCCAGCTCCTAGGACGAGAGCCAACTCTCTGAACGGCCGAGGAAAGGCACAGCGTCCGTCGTCGGTACGTGTGGTCAAGCGACCTTTCCTGCCCTCTAGAGGCGGAAGTCCCTATCTGCCCCGAGGCCTTCAGCCCGTGGGCGTGGCATTGAAATCACTTCCCACCACCGATAGCACACCCATCGATATGGGCTCCACCATTTCGGGAGTCCGTCTCCTCGAGCACGGTGCTCCCTTGCTGAGAGGCAGTCCTGATAGCGACGAGGACGTGGATCCTCCACCGTCCCCCAGTCCTCCAAGGACTACGCTACCACCTCGCAGTGCTCTGCCAGCCACGCCCAAACGGGCGGAGCCCCCGCGTCCGAAACTGAACCTCGATGAGCTCTATGAGAACGACTACGACGTGACATTGAACGATGCTCTCGATCCCACGCTGAAGCCACTGTCGCCCCAGCATCCGCATCCCCATTCGCTTCCACATCCGCATCAGCTTCCATACCAACAGCAGCAGCAGCAACAGCAGCAGCAGCCACAATCGCAGCAACAACGGCAATACGCCAGCGCATATAATCCATTTGGCTATCAGGCCGCGTATCAATCACCAACATCCGCTTCAGCATCTGCATCCGCACCTGCATCCGCATCAGCATCTGCATCGCAGCCAGCTGGCTATCATAGTGATTCCTATTTCTCATCGACAGATATACGCCGGCGGGCTGTTGTCCCGGCGCAAGCCGCGCGTCCACATCGACTCGAATACGCTTCTCCCGGAGGAGCAGCCGGCGGATCATCCGGCGGAGGAGTGAGCAGGAGTTACCAGCCAGCGGGCCGGGTTGCCCAGCATTTCTACGACGACTTTGCCTACTGAAAAGTAGGCTTAATCTTAGGTGAGTTATTCTGTCAAGTAATTAAGTATTAAGATTACTAAATATCCAACTTTTTCAGTTTCTTCAGCTGTAAATAAGTTTCCCCCAACAAGGAGAGTTCCATTTGGTGCACGACTCCAACTTCTTAAACATAATCTGTCTCTACCTTAGTCGTTTAGCCGCAAAAAGAAAAACCTACTCTTAACTCAAAAAACAAGGTTCAGGACCTAACCCGAAACGCTATAACACAAGCGATCTAAAACCAGTAACCAACCCCAGAGAAAGAGATACTTGGACCTCAATTACATCGCTTATAATGTTGTTGCGTTAAATAGATGATTTGTCCGGAACCCCTCTAATTATATATACGTTGTATAATACTCAATTGTCGTGATAGTAGCAGCTTGCGAATGAATTTTTCTGCTAGCTCCTTTCTAGTAGTTGATAAACCTAACATCCTGCTCATCCTTCTCCGCTAAATTGGAATTCAAAATGCAGAACATCCAAACAGTACAGTACCGGATCAGTTAACAACAACAGCCGAACAGTGTTTAATGTACGTTTAGTGAGAACGAAATACCTAAAAAATTTAATTTAAAATTGCAATTTTTATAAAAATTGTCCGTAATATTTAAGCTTTGTCGGAGATCGCGTCCGTTGTGGAGAGCCAGGATCCAAGACTTAAGTCGGAGTGCATAACAATCAAAATAAAAACTCAAATAAATATAAAATCTAATTGACTTTCTAATAGGTGGTATTTTCGGCTAGTTTCTACTGGAGGTTTGCAGGCAAACCTTAAGGTTTTCCGTTTCCTCTTCCAGGTGATCTAATTTTTTCATAAGAATGATCTAGAATAGATAAAGAGATGGAATTTTTAGAATAGATGGTGTGATTAGATTAAAAAATATGTCCACCTTAGCTGCAGATACAATCTCGGTAGCTACTCTGAGAGGCATGTGCTCTACGGATTGCACCAAGGTCATAGCTGGTATTCTGGCTATATCTTCGATTGTACGGAAGCCGGCTGCATACAATTGCTTGGCGCGATTCTAAAATAATGTTACAAATTAAAAATTTAATAGTAACTTCTGATGAATAAGAACTCACAATTTTAACAGCCGGCAGTTCCAGCAATGGCTCTAGTTCGTATGTGCCGCATCGGTCCATCTTGTGAAGAATGCGCTCGAATAAAGGCTTGTAGCACCAGAACTGCTCCATCTCCTCGCAGAGACGGACAATTGCACTAGAGGCTGCTATAGATTGGCTGATCAGATGCTGGAGGGTTCCGCGCTCGACGTTGTACTTATTTGACACAGTGGGCAGCGGAATCAGCTCCAACACATCCTCCAAAATCAGCACCTTATAGAGGCGATTCAGTTGAACAGATAGAGGACCCTGCACCGATTGCGTCTTCAAGAGCCTCGCTGCATGCGCTTCTGTGAACCCCAGCTGCTTGAACAGAGCCTGCGACTCCACTGGAAGCGAAGTATAAACTCGAAAGAGTATGCTGGCATTGGCCGGAAACAGCTCGTCTCCCTTTTCATTTGAATTGAAGCATACGACCAGGTACAGCAGGTGGGAATAGTTGGTCAGGATGAGCTGCTGCTGGGCCTGCTTCAGCTCCGTGTGTATGGCCTTGGCCTTTTTGTAGTCGATGCCGGCCTTGAAGGCAGCTCTTCCAATATTGGTTAGCTTGAAACGCGTAGACTGGCCGATGAGAAGGCGTCGTTCTCCAGCAGGACGATTGCTCTGGTTCGCGTCCTGGGTGGTTATGATCTCCGAGCAATCAATCTTTGACTTGGAATCGGGTTCGCTTAGCTGAAGAACTTTTTTCTTGAACATCTCACGCAGAATAAGGAGTACCACCTTGTCCACGGCCACATTTAAGGTATCAGCCTGCACAGCGAGCAGAGTACTGTCCACCAAACGATTCAAATCCCGACGACATTCCGCCAGATTTAGACCAATCACACTGAGAATCAATGACTGCAAAGGTTAAAAATTGTTAATAATTATCAGGGAATAATTTTTGATCAAATATTTTATGGCCCCAAGAAATTTCCCGTCTTAATTTGACACTTGCACTTGAAAACCGCAAGGTACTTTAATATTATAATCTTGGTTTCCAAAAAATAAACTGCAACCATTAGCAAATGTATCAATTACACATTTTTTGATTAAAAAAAATGTAATCTTACTCAGCATATATATATTTTTTTTGATGACTCAGCTATTCTTAATTAATATTAGAAAAGGATATCGATAACTTCAAGCCATACCGCTTCCGATTAAACAAAATAGGTAACAAGTAGGCCTTGAACCTTAAAATAGTATAAAAGGCGAAATTTTCGACCATTAATCTTCAGTTATAATAACTTCCTCGTGCCTGCAACATCGTTCTACAAAAAAAAAGGATTTAATTCTGTGATATTGTGAAAAAAAAAACAGTAAATAAAAAAAAAGTGACTAATATAGTTTTGTGATATTGAAAAAAAAAAAAAAACATTTAAAAATAAAGTGAATTTATAGTTCTGTGATAAAAGCTTGGATATACTTTCTACTTTGTGGTTCAGGTACTAATATATACATAAGGTAATCTTTAGTCCTGATGGTAAAAAATTAAAAAAAATCAAAAGTTCAAAAATAAACTCAAAATTTAATAAGACATTAAATCCCCAACACACAAACAGGTCTTTTTCTCAATAACTCTCGTCTAGGTAATTTAAATTGTAATTTTTTTTCAAGACATGTAAACCATACCTGTAAACCCACTGCTTCTTGCTGATCCATTGAGCTTAGGGCCTTGTCCATTGGCGAAAATAGCATTTGACCGACTTGCAAGTTATCCTTGCTTTGGGCAATTAAAATACTTTCGCCCGCCTCCCCCAATCCTGCACGACCAGCTCTTCCCACCATTTGCTTGTACTTGCACAACGTCATGAATTCCTGGCCCACATAGGGAGCTCTAATTATGACCCGTTTAGCGGGAAGATTCACTCCAGCAGCCAAGGTTGAGGTGCAGCAGATTACAGTGACCACTCCGAAACGATAGGCAGTTTCTATATACTTCCGTTCATCCGTAGTCAAGCCGGAATGGTGATAGGCAATGCCATAGGGTAGAGTTTTGGCTAGCACAGGGCTGAGAATGCCACACATCTTGTCCAGGGCATCCATTAGATCAACTTTTTCGCTTCGGCGATGTTCAAAGAACTTTTGTTTCGGCACTATGCGACTTAGGAGAAGAGCCACATTTTCACAGTTTTTCTTGGTGGGGCAGAATACTAGACAACAGTTTTCCGGAGCACATTCGCTAACCAGGCCAGCCAAATGGTCGGGGTCAGCGCGTTTCACAGCTTCGCTGTACTAGAGTTGAAGAATATTTGTTCATAAATCCAATTGAAGGAAAGCTACATACTTTAAAGTCAACGCTGCGACTGGGAACAAAGATCTCCTCCAGTGTGTGACCAGCAGAATTGATTTCCAGCAAATCAGGGCCACATTTTATATACTCCTTCAGTTCCACAGGTCGAAAGCCTCTTGTGTAGACATCCGCATTCAGAAAGGAAGATATTTCGCTTAAATTTCCAATTGTGGCACTCATCCCCACAATTTGTATGTTGGCTGAAACAATAGACCACATAATTCCCATTGAAACGTGGGATACATTTAAGATCTTACCATTCAAAAACATCACCTTGGTGAGAAAAGCTTCCAAGGTTGCTCCCCTACCCCTTTCTCCGATCAAATGCAGTTCATCAACAACTACCAGACCAATTTCATGGGGCCGTTCCACGTCTATTAGGCTATCCATTAAAACTGCACCTTTTTCTATCGAAGCTATAAAGAGGCTGCGCCTTTTGCGCCGTGGTTGGGGTGGACATTTTCCTTTTCCCGCTGTATATTCCTCCACAAGAAAGTCCAGGTCGATGGCAAAAGGAGACATGGCACTTACCTTCTCTTGGACGATTGAAACATATGGCAAAATAAACAGAACGTTCCGTTCGCGACACAGAAGTTCGCGTAGCATAAGAATCTCGGCCACAAGGGTCTTCCCACCACTCGTAGGTAAAGCATAAATGAGATTCTTTCGCTGCTTTATAGCAGGTAGGTTCAGGCATTCGTCCTGCCATTCTAAAAGGAATAAAAATTAATAAGAATATTTAGCTTATCAGTTTTCAACTCACCATACAGATTCTTAATGCCCTTGTGCTCAAAAATCATCTTCTTAACCTTATCGGGCAGGCCGTAGAAATCACCCTTGCTGGGAAAAGTGTCTTTCGGTGGGTTTTTCTTCTCAAAATCTGCAAAGGCTTGCGATTCCCAAATGGAAGGATCCAAAATAGATCTGTTCCTCAGTGCATTACATGTTTCGTATTGAGTTCCTTGGACTATTCCTTCTAAAATCGACTTCGACATAATCGACTCATCGTTGGGGCCCGGTGGAATCTTCTCTGGCGTTTTGGGAACTTTGAAAGCCACTGCATCCAAGAAAATCTGGGTGTTTTGTACGAGGGGCTCACTGAAATCCTCTGCGCCGTGAAAAATGTCTTCCATTTCCGTTATGCTAAGATCGTTTAGGTTGATTTTATTAAACAACGAATCCTGATCACCCTCTGACAGGTCGATTTGGTGTTGGCCGCCTGTGTCATTGGCCTCCTTTTGATTCTGGGTGGGAAGTAGCTTCTCGGTGGCTGGAAACGAAGTGTCGCCGAAGAGTCCATCGTCTGATCCGCTCTGTTGAAGCTTGTTGGCGCTGCTTGTCTGGGGCTGAGTTCCAAAGAGCTCCGTATTTCGTCCGCTAAGCAAATCTTCCAACTTTGCATTGGAAAAAATGCTGTCGTCGTCGCTGTCCGGCCAGAAAAGGTTTTCGCTGCACTGCCTCTTGGCATGGCTTTGACCCTCCGAGGGTTCTGGCAGTTCTAAACATCTTTTTTTACAATTTGGGGCATTGTTTTGATTTTGCTGATTCGACATCCGTGAAACTTGGCGCTCAACAGTGTGACCGTTGCCGCAAAATGGGCATGTGGCTAAATTTGAATGTCAGTTAACAGAAATTCTTAACAGAGTGTTAACAGACCGTTGAAGACCCCCAAGACCGTTGAACTTTTATTGACCTTTTTTTTTATTAAATTTTGTATTGATAAGGGAAATTATTAAGTCCGAATTTAGACTAAATTAAAAAGAATGTATTCTGTTTATTTTCTCCATTATTTAGAACTTGGAATTTTTCTGATCTGATTCTGGTCACACCGCGCTATCACCTGCTACAGCGCGTCCTTTTCGGTATTTGGTTTCATTTGATTTTGGTATTTGAGATCGGAGGCGTAAATAATTTGTTGTTTTGGGGAAAGAGCGCCTTAAACGCTTGCCAAAATGAGCAGCTGCTGGTATTTGGAGCATGTGACAACCCGCCATAAGATTATCCTACACAAGGGGAATAATGTTATAGGGCGTCACTCCCGCTGCCGGATCGTCTTGGGCGCCCCGTACGAGTTCGTTTCCCGGGAGCACGTAAACATAGAAATTGTCAACGACCATAAAGTAATAGTTAATTCTCTGGTAAGTTAAACACAAATCAAAAAATAAAACAAATTTAATTCTGTCTTGGTTTCCATTAGAATCCTCTGAACGGAGTCTTTATCAACCAGGGTGTTCTGGACGACAAGGTGAAATCCATTCAAGTACTCGAGGGCTCAACCATCAGCTTGGGAGTGGAGGGTCCAGCCATTAATGTAAAACCCGAGTTCGCCATGTTCTTTTTGCGAAAAACAGCACCAGTTGAGGAAGCCGTCGTGCTTTCATCAGACGACGAAGACACTAATCCGCTTCCGCCTCTGAAAAAGCCACTAAGTGCCAAGGAGTCCACAGAGTTCAATCTGGAAAAACAGCTTAACAATGGAGGAGGAAAGAGCCAGAATCTGCACCTACCAAAACTGCCAGAAGTAAAACAGGAGCTAATGCAACAAACCTCTGATGAAATTACTAACATCTTCGGTGAACCGGATGAGGCAATTCTGGGAGGTGTTCTGAACATTAATCCCTATATATACAATGCTCTTAATGCCAAAAGTGGGGCCAATATGAGCACCGACAAGAAAATGCACGATGGCGACTTAATAGAACTCGATACGATTTCTGAAAATTCTGACATGCCGCCTCCAGCTCCAGCCTTGCCAGCTCCAGCCTTGCCAGCTCCAGCTTTGCCAGCTCCAACCTTGCCAGCTCCAGCTTTGCCAGCTCCAGACTTGCCAGCTCCAGCCTTGCCAGCTCAAAACAAGAAAGCCCCTGATTTCGACGAGCGATTTGAGCTTTCACAGGCTGTGCTTCAAGAGATGAAAGAGGAAATGGCATTTAACGAAGGCGAGGAAGATTTTCTGGGGATAAACGGGCTAGAATTGGGTGAGCCTGAATCTCCTTCGTCTCTATTGGGCGAAGACGACATTGTCATTAGTGACGATGACGACGACTTCAACGCATCGGCTTGGTCTGAAAAACTGCATAGCCAAAAGCCCATGTCGCAGGACTACCCCATGTCGCAGACCTACCCCATGGATACAGAATCATGCGGCGAATCCGAGATGCAATTGAAGGCTCCCCCAAAACCGCTCTGCATCGACAGCAGCTCCTCTGAAGACGACGAGATCTTTAGTGGCCTTCGCCGCAAAGGTAAATATTCTTTTAAATGTTTGTATTTTTCCACTCATTGCTTGTATACTTCCATAGCCGACAGTACTTCATTCATTCGAAAATGTTATGTACGTCTTGAACCCATTCCGCAACAGCCGGAAATTAGTTCTACGGTCGAAGAACCACAGCTGTTTACCAGGCGCCACAAAAAAAGATCTAGCGATGAAGATACGAGCCAGGAACTTTTCCAACGGCGTCCAGCAAACAAAAAACGCCATGTTAGTGACATTCCGAGTATCTTAGATGAAGATGACGTGTTCGAGAAAGACATTGTTGTTCCTGACCAACCATCAACTTCTTCCCATAAGGTTGATAACAAATCTGAGAAGTCAAAAGTTCAATCGCGATCCAAATCGGAGGCTTGCCGCGAGGGGTTGGAAACCCCCACAACATCGAAGAAATTCATCCCAGACAAAATATCTTTCCCCAATATTGAGGTTGAGAAAGGTTCCGAGAAGTCGAAAATTCGTTCTCGAACCAAATCACTGGCTTGCCGCCGGGAGTTGGATGAACAAACTTCTACCACGTCTGAGAAAGTCGTTTCAGAAAAACGCTCCAGTCCTAATCATGGGGCTTCAGAGAAGTCGAAAACTCGTTCACGATCGAAATCAGTGTCCTGCCGAGAGGATGCTGAATCTGACACTAAGTCGAAGAACCATGAATCTAAGGGAAGTTCAGAGAAGTCTAAAATTCGTTCACGATCGAAATCAGTGGCATCTCGCGATGACTTGGATGCTGAATCTGATACTAAATCGAAGAATCATGAGACTGAGAAAAGTTCAGAGAAGTCTAAAATTCGTTCCCGATCAAAATCTGTAGCTTGTCGGAGAGACTTGGATGATGAAACTCCCACCACCTCCAAAAAATTGGTGGCAGAACGACAATCCAGTTGTAATGTTGGCGACAAAAGTTCGGACAAGTCCAAGATTCGTTCCCGATCCAAATCCCTCGCTTGTCGGGAGGATTTGGATGAAGAAGCTCCCAGCACATCCAAGAAACTCGCAGCCGAAAGATCTTCTACTCGTAAGGTTGATGATGAAAAAAAATCGGAGGAGTCGAGCAGTCGTAAGCGAAACAAATCAGTAAGTTGTCGTGAGGACTTGGATGCAGACAGTCCCCCCTCATCCAAGGAAAAAAATACGCGCTTGCGTAGCCGTTCCAAGTCTTGTTATGTGGAGAAACCAATAATGGAAGAATTGGAGCCTGTGGAAGAGCCAGTAAAAGAATCTCACGTGCCTTCAAATGATGGGCCTTCGAAGGAAGCTCCCAAGCCAGCAGAATCTTCAACGAAGCCTCGAATAAGTCCCCGTCTTCAAAACCGAGCCAAATCGTGCTACATTGAAACAAGTGCCTTACCGCCACCAGCCAAGAGTGATCCCAAAGAAAGAGTTACTGATTTCAAGGAGAACCGACTGAACCGAGGTCCTTCGGTAATAGACGCTCCTTCCTTGCCTCAGCATCGTGGCAAACATAGAGGAGTTTCAGTTGAGGTGAAAGGCCAGGATAAACAGAAGCAATGTGTGCTTGAAAGGCAAAAGCTTATCGATTATCAGAAACAAATGAATGACAAATGGCATCAAAAACCAATGGATAAGAAAAAAGAGGATCAAGAGATAAAAGACCGGCGCCGGGAGGCATTGAAGAAGCTAGCCGAGAAGCCAAAGGAACAAGAAAAGCCTTGTGTCGAAAAAAGGAAGATCGTAACCAACGTGCCAACCGTAAACAACTCCAATCGTGGGGAATTCCTCACGAGGGAAATTGAGGGTCCACCTCCAAAAGTGCCTAAAAAGGATTCTCCTAAGAAGGATCCGTCACCACCACCGCCGAAAACACCATTGGCGCCCCCAAGGCGCCCGACAATCGAAAGCTTCTCCCAACAACTCAGGGCAGCAGATGAAGTGACTATTAATCAGCCGAAACGTGGCTCTCGTCCCCCGGAGCGTAGGGAGGCCCAAGTAGCAAGAAATCAACGTACCGTCAATCGCTGTACCTTTGAGGATATGGAACGCTACAACGAACTAATAGAGGCCATAAACAACAGAAGCAAGCAAGTCCGGTTCGATGATAAGGTAAAGATTTTTTACTATGAAATGGCTACCTTGCTGCCTCATGAACCCGAAAAAGTCAGGGGTCGCAAAGATTCAACTAAGCTTGCCATTAGTACTTACACAGATCGCAAAGAATGGACCCTTAAAGAGAAGGGCAAAGCAGTCAACGACATCCGGCACCACTCCAGAACCATATTGGAATGGGCGAATCAGTGGCTCCAGCACCGAAGTGTAGATGCGGTTGCTGCGACTGATGTCCTTATTCCCATTCCTCAAGATTTTCCAAACTTTAAACAATACAAAAAGTAAGTTTATTTGCTTTTCTCTCTAAAAAGCTTCAATTAATCACTACTTTTCCGCAGTATCATTGTTCCGCTGATGAAACTAGAGTTGCTTTCCACCATCGAACGAGACTACCAAAGCTCAAATGCTACGTTCGAGGTAGGGCTGGAGGAAGTCCTGCCCGAGGAGGGCAACTGCTATCGCCTGATTACCAGAGGTAGATATTTGTTCTTAAATTTATATTTTTATACCCTTGCAGAGGGTACTATAATTTTGGTGAAAAGTCTGCAACCCATTGAAGAAGAAATCTCCTATAAAGTGTATAAAAGACCCTAAAAGTATATATGTTCATGATCAGGATCACCCTGAGTTCATATAAGCATGTCCATCTGTCTGTCTGTTATTACGCGAACTAGTCTCTCAGTTTAAAAGCATTCTTTCCTTTGCACCCAGTATATACATAAGTCGGATCGGCGGACTATATCCTGCCATACCAACCAGATCTCATCAGGATCCTGAAAAGGACAAACAATTTAAAAAATATTTGAGAATACTCCGCTTGAGAATCGGATGAAAATTGGGGAAGATATAGCCTTCACTGTGGGCCCTATAGGGCAAAACCCCATTTTCAGGGGATCCATTGGGAAAAATGGAGAAAAAATCTGAAAAATATTTCATCTCACGATTTTGATGCAGAATAGTAGCAAATCGATCCAGAAATCGTTTAAGGTACTCCGCTTGAGAATCGGATGAAAATTGGGGAAGATATAGCCTTCACTGTGGGCTCTATAGGGCAAAACCCCATTTTCAGGGGATCCATTGGGAAAAATGGAGAAAAAATCTGAAATATATTTCATCTCAGGATTTTGATGCAGAATGGTGGGAAATGGATCCAGAAATCTTTTAAGGTACTCCGCTTGAGAATTGGTTAAGAATTGGGGAAGATATAGCCTTTACTGTGGGCCATCCCCCATTGGGAATGGAGGATCCCCCATTGAACCCCATTATAGGGGAAAACTGTGGCCATATAGCAGACTATCGCAGAATAAACTATATTCTATCCTATATTCTGAACTTTATATATATATCTGACTATATACTATATCTAAACTATATTACGATATTCGCATAAGGGTTGGCCAACCATATACCATATACCATATGTTTGCGATATATATCCGGGCTTAACTGCAAGGGTATATCAACTTCGGCTCCGTCCGAAGATAGCTTCCCTTTGTTGTTTCTTTTTAATATCAATGTCTTATAATTTCTAGTCAACGGCCGTCCCATTGGAAGGTTCACCCTTTACACATTGAAAAGTGGTAACGATCTTCCCGAAACGTTTGGCAACCTGCAGGACCAAAAGTGTATAGGTGGTAAGTAATTAAAGTAATTGGACAAACGATTTCCATTTAATGATTTAACTCTCATCTAGGAACCACCTACAACATGACTTTTGATATACTGACGCAGAATATTCCGCTGGAAACCATGAAAAAGATCAGACGCATAACTGTCCGTCCTGTGATTGATAGTCTGCGCATAGAGCTGGGAGCCATGAGTGCCGTGGACCAGCTTTTCCGATCGCCACTTTGTGAAAGGATCTTGAGGCCTGCAAGGGCAACAATGCCATTTCGGGTATCAACAACGGGCCCAACCTTTAGTTACAAGGGGTTCGACAGGTTGAATGACCATCAAGAGGACATTATCCTGAAGACCTACCAAAGGGTCATAAACTATGCGCACCCGAGCCTAACGTTGATTCAAGGTCCACCTGGCACCGGCAAGTCCGCCGTCATATCAAACCTAACATTACAATGTTTATACGGCAATGCTGCCACCAATTTGGATCAAAAAATCCTCATTTGCGCACATTCGAACACAGCCATAGACCGAATTGTGTCCTCGCTTTCTGCAGTAAAAAGCAAGATGAGTAGAATGCACTTCGAGCTACTTAGATTCGGTCTCTTCGAGAAAATGAGCGACCAGGCACGTCTTTTTTCATTGGAGGCGCGGTACCAAAGCCGAAGGGACCAGAAATTGAAAGTTTTATCGCCTGAGGAAGTAGCGGTTCTTCGAAAGCAGTACTCTGATCTTAAATCGGATATTATTAAGTTAAAGGCGAAGCCAAATCTTGCCACAACGTACCTACAACAGGAACTGCAGAAGAAGGAGAAACAGTTCCAGTTGGTAAGCGAGAAGCTGCAACCGCGATTAACACAACGAGACGAATTTGATATTGCCAAGACTTCTATAAACGGGGCCAACATTGTCTGTACGACTCTGTCCTCGTGCGTCAAGCTGGCCAACTATATAGAATATTTTGATATCTGCATCATCGACGAGGCCACACAGTGCACAGAACCATGGACCCTGTTACCAATACGATTCGGCTTGCGGCATCTTGTCCTGGTGGGCGATACTCAGCAGCTCCCAGCGGTGGTGCTATCCCAAAAGGCGATTGAATACGGACTATCAAATTCCATGTTTGACAGGATCCAGAGGAGCCTCGAAAAACAGCTCGAGAGCCCTGGCTCTAACCAGTTTATACACACGAAACTGTTCAAGTTGAGTGTGCAATATAGGATGCATCCTGAAATATGCCGCTGGCCGAACAAATATTTCTATGAAGATCAGCTGGTCAGTGCGCCATGCACCGAAAAACGTGAAGCGCTTATTCCCTATTGTGTCATCAATCTGAGCTATACCAGAGACACCAGTACTATGTCCAACAAAAGCATCAGGAACGACGAAGAAGCACGGTTTGTGGCGAAACTTATAACCGAGATGCAAAAGCTCATGCCCGCCACACGATATTCATATGGACTGATCACCCCCTATAGCAACCAGTGCTATGCCCTGAGTCAGGTCATTACAGAAAAAATGAAGGTGAAACCGTTGACTATCGATGCCTACCAGGGTCTCGAAAAGGACGTTGTAATCCTATCAAATGCAAGAACAAGGGGCTGCGGTTTCCTTTCAAACTACCACCGCCTTAATGTCGCTCTGACCAGACCAAAGCGATGCTTAGTTATATGTGGAAACTTTGATGATCTCCAGGTAAGTTAGGTTACTTGTGCTACCCACATTAAGTTGCTAACTTCTCCATTTTATTTCAGTCTGTGGACATGTGGCGGCAATTGCTAGACGATGCCCGCCAGCGAAATGTTTACTTTGATTTGGAACGCAAGGATGCAGATGACCTAACATCTCTGATGGAGAAAATGACCACCAAGGGAGCGCCTCCAAAACAATAGACGAATATGACGAATGGACTAGGTTGCAGAGGCTAATTTATATGCTAAACCTAACATTATATTTATGTGCCATAAAATGCCAAAGAAGGGCTTCCCAAGAATATTAATTAAATATTCTATTTTTTGTTTACATTCATTCATTTTCATTTATTTTGTAACATCGATAGAGACTTGAAATTTGAAGTTTGTTCATTGAAATCTTTGTACACACTTATTCATAAAACATCGTAGACTCGCATTTAAACCGTAAATGCCTCATACATATACTTGAATAACAGGGTTATAAGTAACCATTCTTACTTCATCTATATATATACTTTTTTTTTTTTTTTTGTGATAGCGACGAGTTCAGGATGATAAATATGTATTACCAAAGGAACGTTAAGAAATAAAGAATTGTTTTTTTCAATAGTTTACTTTCTACGTATTGCACTATATAGAAACGTAAGCATAATGTATAGAAGTTCTTTTCCGTCCATTAATAAACTAAAATGCATTCTAATTATGCTAATCTCTCCGACTTCTGGTACTGCTTCTGCTAAATTCTCATCTATAAGTTATAGTAATAGTAGTTAAATTCACTAACAACACTCACACACGTAGTCAATTTTAAATTCATATTCTGTTTGCTTAGCCATCCGATGATGATGTGTCGCCTCCCACCTCGGCATTAAAATTAATGGAATCACTTAATAAGTCATGGAACTGTCAACACAATCTGGTAAACTTAATGCAAAATCAAAAAGGGGACTTAGAAAAGTATTTAAAAAATAACAACAAAAGTCTAACTAGGGTCTAATAACATAACAAAAATTATGCCCGTAATTATAACTAATTTTATGTGGCGGCCCAAAGTGCTGCCCGCAATCCTATAGTTACATATATAATGGTATATATATAAATTTTGCATTTATATGTAGAACGTACGACTTAAGCAAACATCTTGTCCGAATCTAACTGGTAACCGATTTAAACTTAATTTAGCATGTCGCCCAGATTGTCCTTAAGCGACTGATAGATTTGGTATTGTTGATCTGGCTTGAGGTTATAAATTTGCGTCAGCAATTTCGCAGGCGACGGAGTTCTGATGAAGCTCGAAATGTAGACGTTAACGAAAGTGGCCATTAGGAACTGGCAGTCGAAACGATCCATGATGCCACCATGACCAGGAATCATGTCGCCAAAGTCCTATAAGAGTTATCAAGTTAATTATTGATTCCAGTTTCAAAAAAGTAGAACCCACCTTGATTTTGAATGCCCTCTTGAAACCGGATGCAAAGAAACCTCCAAAGGGTCCAATAATCGAGCTGAACAAGCTCAGGGAGATTGAATGCCAGATGAATGGATAAACGTTTAAGGTCTTGCCAATGCCAAGCTGGAAACCCATTAAATTAAACCGTCAATATGGTCCACTCCCTTTCCAAAATACACACAGCGTCGACTTACCAGCTTGAGATTGTACTCCTGGGGTGTGAATAGATAGCTGGGTACGCAGGACATGGTCATGCGACCCAATTCCTCTGAATACTGGATGGGGCAAATGAAGTACTGGTAGTTGCACAGCACATACGAAAATAGAATGCCAAAGAGGACGGTGGCGAAACCGCCACCTATGAAGCCCTCCCAAGTTTTCTTCGGGCTCAGCTTGATGAGGGGTGTGCGCCCAAAGAAGAAGCCGAACACATACGCCATGACATCATTGCACACAATCATCGAGACAGGTACGATGAACCAAATGAGACCCTCGAATATATTCTGGATGATGAGGTAGCTCTGGGTGACGACAATCAGCAGCGATACGTGTGTCCAGGCGAACAAGCTAAACTGCTTGATGTAGTACTTCTTCACGAGCGAGAGTACAAACCATACAAATCCAATGATGTACAGGGCGAAGGACAAGAAACGGTGGTAGGTTACCAGGAACTTTAGGTACTCCTGCGTGGAAAATATAGGGTGAGAACAGAAGCCCCATAAAATAGGTTAATTGAACGTACCACTCGGTTGATAACTACCCCAAAGTAGTCTACTAGATTTTCTCCATAGAAGAAGTAATTAGAGGTGAGAAGAAAGTACCAAGAGAGACTCCGGAACCAGGGCAATCCGTGAATCCGATACACCTGGTAGCCAATAGAGATGATCTCCTGGAAGCATTTAACCTGCACCAACAGAGTCTGTTCGTTGGGAAGACAAAATAAGATTTTTTATATGATAGGCTAGTGTTTGAAAATTTGATGAAACTTACAGTGATCATCAAGGCCAGTGGTCCGCCGTAGATGATGAGTGCGAAACCGCAGATCATAATCCATGTGAAAATGCCGCGAATGACCCAGTTCCTCCATCTGTGGAATGCATATAAAAATATTGTTTCTGTTATTTCACACATTTGTTTATTTGGAATATTTGCTAGCCAAGTACAGCCAGCTGTGGGTGGAATATTTTTGGAGCAAATTCTCACTTGGTTAAATACAAGAGAGAATGGATTGGAAACCATTTTAGGATTGGAAACCAATTTGAATATTTTAAGGATCACCGGACTTACCGATCGGGCAAATCCTTTAGGGCTGCGTCAAGTATCTCTGGTGTCTTGTCGGTTCCCTGCGGCAGATTCTTGGCCAGCTCCTCGACAAACTTCTCCTCGGGAATCTTCTCCTCCTCGGAGTCCACCTGCAAGCAGAACGAATGCATTCATTGATACCCCCTTCATATTTATTGGCAATCGGGGTGAAGGGCTCAACCACTTTCTATTGAATGGGTGGTGTGCAAAGTCCAAGATACGTGTATCTAGTACATATGTATGTCTGTGGCTATATACCCATAATCAGTATATCAGGCGTTTATCCAAGACATATACACATGCAAAGCTAACACAAGGAGGTCGCACGGGGAGAGACAAATTGCGGGCTTTTTTGGTGGCGTGTTTTGTTTGTTGCCAAATAGCGCGATGATAAGGCATTCGGACATGCGGGGGAAGGGGGGCGCTTATCGCCCAAGAAAAACTTAGCCGGAACCTGTGCGAAAAAAATGGTATTAAGAATGGGAAGCCGAGAACGGCCAAGAGGGTGGTAATTTGGTGCTTCCGTAATTTTGCCGTCAACTTAATTGGATTTGCTCGAAATAATGGCACTATATTGCAGCACAGTGGGGGCTTTGGGGGGAGGGGGGGTGGCAGGCTTCCATGTAACATTGTTATGGTGTGTGCACCGCATTTGTTATTGGATTTTCTCCTGTTTTCTCTCTCCTGGCTCTCCTTCGCTCTCGGATTCTCTGTTTCGCCCACCTGCTTGTGCGTCAGAGAATAACAAAAACATACACACACAAAGGAACACCGTGGTGGTATACACACATTTGTTTCCTATGTTTCTTTTGCGCTCCAATGAATTATGCAAATGGATCGGTATTGGATTTGGAATTGGGAACCGGAGCAGGTCGCTCCACTTAGGAGTCATTGGCACCGGCCGTGGACACTTACATGATCCGAAGAATCGGCGGCGGAGGAGTTGCGCTTACTGGCTACTGTTGGGCCCGATGCTGATGCGGATGCCGAGATACCAGCAGATTCTTCGAGCGCCTCCTCCTCCTGCTTCCTTCGTCGCACTTCGGTCATTGTTTTGGCTTATTCTCAATTCGTCTCACTCGAGCTGTGGCAGGTTCCTAGTCCGTGTTCTGTATCTGGCTTTGTCCACAAACACTTTGTCCTAAACAAGTCCAAGTGTCTCCCGACTTTTCTCTATTTCTGATTGGAGCACTGCCAGTCGGGAGGTGGGGATGTGACCAGAGCAGTAGCGCATATAAAAACGCACTAAAAATGCGCGATGGCGCAATGCTGGATAATGAATTTAAATCTTGATATGCGATTTATAAAAACAATTTCGAATCACAAGTATTTATTTCACAAGATAAGTAAAAAACGAATGGATAGATTGAAGTTTAAATCGGTTGTTATAATAATTTTTTTGTTTTTTAAGATTTTAGTACAACAAAGGATGTTGTAATAGCAACATTAATTTTTATATTTTTTTTGACTCCGCTCTAAAAACTTCGGAATTTAAATATATATTCCGTTATTTTTCAGCTATTATTTCAAAAAAAAAAAAAACTTATATAGAACAACAATATATACAAAAGGTGCCAAAGTCGTTTTTAGCATATCACAGTTTCAGTCACAATAAAAATCACAGTGATATTAAGCTACCTTCTTTTGTCGTTGTCCAACACTTAAGCCGGCGGCGTCTTCGCAGATTTATTTGCAATTTTTGTGCCGAAAAAAAAAGAAAAAATTCCCCTCTCCTATAACAGTTTATTCGTAATAAAGATAAACTTGAACGAAAATGGCAGCCGCTATTGATGGCATTTTCCCGGCGTCCTTGCAGGAGCTGGTGAAAAAGTCAAAGGTTCTTGTCGTGGGAGCTGGTGGAATTGGCTGCGAGGTGCTCAAGAACCTTGTGCTCAGCGGCTTCACGGATATAGAAATTGTAAGTTATATCAGCCACTTGTTAATCGAATAAAACTTTAATTAAAACTTTAGATCGATCTGGACACTATTGATTTGAGCAACTTGAACCGTCAGTTCCTCTTCCATCGCGAGCACGTTGGAAAGTCAAAGGCGCGTGTGGCGCGTGAGAGTGCTTTGAGCTTCAATCCAGATGCCAAGATTACTGCATATCATGACAGCGTTACATCGTGAGTGCTAAGTTACTTTAACTTTCATAAACGATTTTAAACCATCTCCTATTTGCAGAACCGATTATGGTGTCAACTTCTTCAAGAAGTTCGATGTTGTGCTGAGTGCTTTGGACAACAGGGCCGCCAGAAATCATGTGAATCGCATGTGTTTAAATGCTGATGTGCCTTTGGTCGAAAGTGGCACTTCTGGGTATAATGGACAAGTGGAGCTCATCAAGCGGGGACTGACACAGTGCTATGAATGTATGCCTAAGGAGGCGCAGCGTAGTTTCCCGGGGTGCACAATTCGAAACACCCCTTCAGAGCCGATTCACTGCATAGTGTGGGCCAAGCATCTGTTCAAGTGAGTTTGCTTGACTTATTCTTCTCCAACCGAGTTGTTACAATACCCTTATTCATTTTCAGTCAACTCTTTGGGGAGTCGCAGGAAGATGAAGACATTTCACCCGATGCCGCCGATCCAGATGCCAAGGATGCATCAGAAAAAGATGGGGAGGCAGATGCTGAGAATAAGGAAAAGGATGAGGAAGCGGATAAAGATGAAGCGGATAAAGTTGGCGTTGCCGCCAACGGCAATATAGTGCGCATTAATACGCGACAGTGGGCCAAGGACTGCAACTACGATGCCGGAAAGCTCTTCAACAAGTTCTTTAACGAGGACATCAACTATTTGCTGTGCATGTCGAATCTTTGGAAGACGCGCAAGGCACCCGTTCCAGTTCAATGGGATACTCTTTTACCAGAAGGGGCGGCCGATGGCGAGACGGAATTCGCCAAACAGCACCACAAGGTATGGAGCGTTGAGGAGAGTGCCCACATCTTTGCCAATGCTTTGAAGGAGCTGAGGGCCTCTTTGCTAAAGCTAGAGGGTGATGATACTTTAGTGTGGGACAAGGACGATCGCCCCGCCATGGACTTTGTGGCTGCCTGCGCCAACGTTCGATCTCACATCTTCAATATAGAGCAAAAATCTCGATTCGAAATCAAGTCAATGGCGGGCAACATAATACCCGCTATTGCCACAACTAATGCCATTACGGCGGGAATTTCCGTGATGCGGGCATTCAATGTCTTGGAATCCAAGTGGGAACAGTGCAAGGCAGTCTATACCCGATTGCGGTTGAACGCACGTAACCAGATCCTTGTACCGGAACTATTTTTCCCCAAGCCCAACCCCAACTGTTATGTGTGCTCCAGTGATCCAGCTATAGGGCTTAAAATTGACACCAAGAAAGTAAACATCAAGCAGCTGCGCGACGATGTGCTTATCAAGACACTCAACATGCTCAATCCTGATGTTACGGTGGAGAGCACCGGCTCGATCCTTATATCCTCAGAGGAGGGCGAGACCGAGAGCAACGAGGGAAAGCTACTGAGCGAAATGAACATCGTGGATGGTGTGATTCTCAAGTGTGACGACTTTTTCCAAAACTATGAGCTGAGCATTATAATTTCTCATTTCGATTCCGAGAGGGATGAGGCTCTGTTTGAAGTTATTGCCGATCCCAACCAACTGAAACCGAAAGAGCAGGATAAGGAGGAAACCGTGGTAGAATCAGAAGAAAAAGTGGCCAAAAAGCGATCTGCTAATGGAAATGAAGTTGCCGCCGACGATGGTCCATCGACTTCAAAGAAGAGTCGACCTACGATAGTGGAGGACGACGACGACGATGATTGTCTGTTGATTGAGGAAGATGAGACTGCTGCAGAAGAAGCTGCCGTCGTCAGTGATAAGCAGAGTTCACCGAAAACAGCTACGAAGCGCAAACCCAGCACTGAAGTAATCGATGATGACGAGGACATCACAGAGATTCTGGACTCCTCCGACGAAGAGGCTGCTGGGCCCACCCAGTGCAAACGCTCCCGGCTGGATGAACATCCGACTCCCGTTGAAATCATCAATATTGATTAAGAAAACATTCGAATAAGTCATCAGCCACATTCTACGATGTTCTAGTTTTTTACAGAAATGCATTTTTTTTATTTTGAAGACCATTTTTGATTTGAAGCTGTTAAAAAAAAAACCTGTATTTCCTTCTTAAAGATACATACGTACATAATCTACAAAAAATGAAAAACCATTAAACATCAAACAATTTTGTTTAAATTTTGATTCCGATTGACTTTGGTGACCAGTGTTGGGTAACACTAGGGGACATTTGTGTTATCGTTTATTTGGATCGCCGCACAATGTAAGTTCTTTGAAAGAATTTTGTGTAAATTCTAACTGAAAATTGCTTTTGCAGATGTCTTTGGTCAGCAGAATTCTGCAGCAAGGCTCCTCCGTATGGAATAGCCTTAGTGCCGCTCGGGGCTTCCACATGCTTGTGCGCCCGACTGCCATTCCAATGGTGACCTCCCAAAACACACAACTTATGACCGGCTCGAATGTTGTAGCACAGCGACCGGGACTTCTGACTCCTTGTCTTACCCTACTGCAGCAGGTGGCTGGATTCAAGGTCAAGGGGCGTCTGAAGCGACGATGCAAGGATTGCTACATTGTTGTTCGTCAGGAACGGGGTTATGTCATCTGTCCCACGCACCCGCGCCACAAGCAAATGTCGATGAAGAAACGCGACTACAAGTCCTGGATCCTGACCCATGCTACTCAGTCCAAGGAACGGGGCTATTAGCTTAACTAGTTAAAAGCATTTTCAATTAAATAAATTTGTTTTAAAATATATATAACATTACGAATCGAAGCAGTCATAACAGACTTTTCAACACTGTCCCGTGCAGCTGTTGTTTTGTTTATCTTGATTTGTGAAGTCGGAGATTTTAGTCACTCTTGCCGTAACCGTGGACTGCTTTTTTTCACCCGGAGTCTTGACCGCCTGACGTCAGCGCTGTGTTACGGCTGCAGAGCAGTCACGATAGCCTGAAAATCATATCAAAATGACGACGCACTTCATCAATGTGCTGCGGCAGGCCTTTAAAACATTCGACCGGGCGAACCATGCCAATTTCCAAGCTAATCTTCAACATCTACGACAGCTAACAGATGAACTGACACACCGGGACCTCCACCTACGTGAGGACCTATTCCGGAGCCTGGCCGCTAACCGTGCACCCTGCAGCTACATGCACATTTTCGAGGACGAGCGCTTCTCCATGAGTTTGTTTATAGTCAGAGGATCGAGTAACATCCCTCTCCACGACCATCCCATGATGTTTGGACTGCTCCGTTGCATTTGGGGCCAACTGGTGGTACAGAGCTATTCCCAACAACTCGGATCGGATGATCCTCTAGCCTATGATCCCCATCCCACAATGGTTAAGGTAAATGCTGAGGAGCCATGCCTGGTTACACCTGATACTCCGTGCGCCACGTTGACCCCAAGGAAGAGGAACTTCCACCAGGTTGCCCAGACGGGAAACGGAGGTGTGGCCGCCTTTTTTGATATTCTAAGTCCACCGTACGATGCGGATATGCCCATATATGGCCCTCGCCAGTGCCGCTTTTATCGACCCAAAACAGATGGTGGGCAGCTGCAGCTCCATCGCATACCCTCCCCTGTCACCTACTACTGCGATGTGGTTGATACCCCGGAGACTGTTCTGCGAGCTGCGTTTCAAGTTGCCGATGAATGCTATGCGGCTAGTGCCGTCGTGCCAAGGAATCAGTGATTCGTCGCTTTTCCGGTATCTTACCCTCCTATTTATTCGCCCAGCTGTGTTATTTAAATAAAATTGCCTCTTTTTTTTAATTTGTTCCGCTATCACGGAATTTGTTGTTCGTTAATCTTCTTCAGCGTTATATATGTTCTGGTTGCGTCGTTTAAGTTTCTTTACATTGGGACTAGGGACCTTCTCTTCTGTCTTGAGGGGCTCTTCTGTCTTGGGGGCATCTTCTGGCTCTTTTGTCTCTTCCTCCATTTCCTCTGGTATGTCCACTTCCTCTGACACCTGGACAGGTGCTGGCAAGGCCAAGTTGAGTTTTCTTTTCGTTGGAGTTACCAAAAGTTCACTGGTTTTCTCCGTCTCAGCCTCTTCGTCTTCACCACTCTCCGACGCTGTTTCCGAGGCCTTTGGTTCTTCCAAAGACCTCGCCACTGGTAAGTCCTTTCCATTGGCCAACAAAGCCAAGCAGAGTGGATCATCTATCCCGAGAGCAGCACAAAATGAATTGCTCTGGGGATTAAGTTGCGGCTGAGGTTGGCCCAATGTCATGTGCTTATAGTTGGACTGACTTTCGGGATCATAAGCTGGCACTGTGCATTCAAAATTTTCTGGAACCTTGAGAGTCTGAAACTTTGCAGTCACTGCTTCCAATTCGTCCTCTGTGGGTGTGAAATTATAGCGCTCTGTGACTTCACCTGCCTTTTTTCCGGGCAAATAGTAATAGTTTTCTTTGACAGAAATCAAGTGGTTAGTGCTGTGCAAGATGGCCAACCACTCGGCGTCGTATTCCAGGTGAGGCTTCCCCTCTATCGGATCACTAGGAATGTCTACTATTTGGAGGAATCCTCTTCTAGGGAGGCATTTGTCCAGAGCCAGAAACTTAGTGACAGAAACAGGAGGAGTTGATGTGGGAGGAGGTTTACTTTTAACTTCATTCTCGTCGTCTTCATCCTCGCTACTACTGCTACTCGATTGGTTGTCATCGACTGGTCGCTTTTGGCTTGAATTGTGCGGAACCAAAGCAGCGAACTTACAGTGAAGGTGGGCAGCGAACCAATATGCTGGCTGCAACGCCTTCAGAAGTTCCTCCAGGGGCCGACTACCCAGCTTTCCGCTTTCCATATCGTCAGCAAAGAAAGGTTTCCTCCGTAGTAACTCAGCTTTGTTTCCATATTCGTAGATTCCCGTCGGCCAATCATGGGACATAATGATGTCTATTTTTCCCGATAGCTGTTTGAGTCGGAATACCTCCAGCTGGCGCACATGGTAGACACTTCTACATGTTGCTTCTGTATAAGGGGGATATTCATGATGTCCTCTGAGAAAGTCATGACCCTTATAGATGCCGCTGACACCTGCAATGCGAACGCCATTGACATTGACTACCCCGGCATAACCGAGGTAGTAAATATTGGGTGCAACCCATCCTCCATACGGAAGTTCTTGTAAATAGTTAGAAGCCTCGTGGTTGCCGCCAATAAAAATTGTGAGAACTGGCGCTACTCGTTCACCGCTGTAGTATCTAATTGGGCAAGTAATCAGTTTATTATTTATTCAGCAGAACAATTATCCTCCTTACTTGTAAAAAGTGCAAATATCTAAGTACTTCTTGGGCACCGCCATCGTCTGCAAGTCCTCGATATTCCGGGTGGATTGGAAATCGCCGCAGCATAGCAGCAGATCTATTTTGGTGCCGCTCTCCTTTTCAATCACCTCAATGGTGTCGTAGATCCGCTCCAGTTCGCCGTGGGCACATCCTTCCACAGCTATTTTCATGGTTTCACAACTTTATTTACTTTTTTCAATTGTCAACAAAAATCAAAGCGGCATGGAGCAGTGCGGGAAAGGAACAATAGGTTTCCCATTTTGCAACACTATTTATCGATCTGCATTTATCGAAGGCGCGAAAAGTTTATAAATTTACGAAATTCAAATGGTACAAAAAGATAATAGATATTATATATCTTTGAAAATAATCACTCGATTCATAACCGCAACAAACAAACCGTATAAAAGAGATGGTTTTTCTCCAGTTCAAACGTTAAAAATGTTTTTTTTGTTTATTTTTCAAAAATATCGCTCCATTTAGTAAAATATATACGTTTATGTGTGTATAAAGAAAATGTATGTGAAATGCTCTTCGTTGAATTCTCATCTTCTGACCGAATTGCCGTGTTTTTTTTTGGAGTTCTGGGGGGCGTGCGGGTGGGCACAATCTCATTACATGAGACCTTTTTCGTCCTCGACGTGTTTGTTTTCGTTTCGTTTCGATTTGTTTACATACAAAGATTTACAATAGACTTTTGACTTAAGTTATCATAATTTAGTTGGCAGCCGAGTGCCAAGAAGTAGGAAATAAAGTATAAATCTACAATAAATATAGGTGCGGTCTCACCGCTGCTTGAATCGACCGCTTTTGGTCGAAGAATGCAGCATTTGGTACACGGAGTGTACGAAAACCAGGAGAATGCCTTAAAGCCATTAGCAGCACGCCACATGTGTTTGTTTGACGTTGTTAGTGTTTTTTTGTTGTTGTTTTAGTTTTTTTTGTTTTTTTTTTTTTGGAAAGAATAAGAGAAACATTCAAGTCAGAAATTGAACCAAGTCTCTGGTGATCTGGTCATTTCAATTCAGTTGATTCATTTAGGAGCCGAATTTGAAGGACGTGGGCACGGCTGTCTGAGGAAAGGCGAAGCCACCCTGCTTTTCAATCAGCTTTGACTCCTTGGCGGCCTTGCGTTGATCGGCGGTAACCACCACTTCCTGCAGCGCCTTGGCCTGATCGGCGGTCAGGTTCGATGTCAACAAGTTGTACCAGACTTGGTCCTGAGCAGAAAGTGCTATAATTAAAGAAAGAACCATAGTTAGAGGTTACTGATTAGAGTGCGAATAGTAAAAGTCTACCTGTAATAACTTCCTTAAACGTCCAGTATTCATCAATGGCGCTCTCGTTCTCCTCATCGTCAATTGGCGTGGTGAACGACTCAAGTCCCGTCTCGTTCAGATCTTCAATCGACTCTTCGGCCTCAGCGTCAGAGTCCGCATCTTCGTCCTTAATTTCAGTCGTAACTTCGAAGCCAGCTTCACCTGCCTTGGACTTGGTGAACTCGGCCAGTTTGTCTAGATAATTGGGAGCCATATCGTCCATATCGTCTTCGTCGCTGGACAGAGCCTCCTCGCAGTCATCACCGTCCTCCTCTTCTTCCTCCTCCTCCTCCTGAGCACGCGACTCGTAGGCACGCTTCAGTCCATCAAAGAGCAGGATTAGAGCTGGCACGATCTTGCCAGCTACCTCACTCAAAACTTGTGGCTTGGCTTCGCCCAGTGAGATGAGTGTGCACAGGCCCAGGACGCAAAGTTTGCGATCATGAATTCTAGATGATAATTTTATAAAAATTAATTTTTTTCAATTCAAAATGAATTTGGAATATTTACCCCAAGAAGCAGTCGGTGTCGTGAAGCCACTGCTTGATGAAATGCGCGCTAATCGACTCGTTATTCTGCTGCGACATCTTGTCCAGAATAGAGAGCAGCAGTTGAGGATTGTAGTAGAGTGCTGCGATTACCACCTGCAAGCACATGGTTCGCAGCTCCGAAGACTGCACTTCACGCGTCAAGCGCGAAAGAGCCAGCTCCACGAACATGTGTATCACTGAGTCGATCTGGCCCTTGCATTGAAGGATGATAACCTCCATCAGTTTGGCGGCATGACACTCTGGATCCTCGCCAGGGCTGCTAGTTAACATCTAAAATAGCAAAGATTTGGAAATGAAAACCTCAATATTAGTTCCAGTTGAGTCTTCTTACCGTTTTGCACATGTCGAGAATAGCCAGCAGCCTGTTGGGATTGGAGAGGAATGCGGGCGTGTCGACAGTCACATAGTTATGCAGAGCCGGCATAATGTCAATGAAGTAGTCAATGCCATCCTTCTTGAACACTTGGTAAATCAGTTCCAGCATCTGCCACATCTCGGGAGAGATGGACTTGGCCGTCAAATCGTAGACAAGAGAGAAGGTCTCCTCATAGAAGTCTGAAAGGACATTCAAGTTCAAAATCAAGGACTTCAGTTATGGTATCTCAACTGAACCCACCAGTAATGTTGTGCTGGAAAATGTGTCCCACCACATTGATAACGATCGGATGGAGATTGAGCAGGACATCGGGATGCTCTTCCATCACACTGAGCAGTGTCTCGATAGTGTTCAGCAGGCTCATGGCGGTGATGGCCTTCTCGTCGGATCCCTCCTCGGACTCCAAAACCTGGCTAAAGGTGGTTGCCAAGTGCTGGCAAATCTCGGTCGCCACCGGCAGCAGCTGCTCGGTGAAGGTGCAGACAATCTTTTGCATTACGTTGGTCAGATCCTCATTCTCAGTTTCACGAATGATGGTGAGCAACTCCTTGGTGATCTCCTTGATCTGACCTTCAACATATTGAGGTGCGTCGTCTTGGGATGACAGGAACATTTGCAGGCCAATGGCCGCCTCCACTTTAACTGGAAGTTCCTTGTCCGTCAGCAGGGCATTCGTAGTCAGCCGCATGATCTCGGCCAGGACCTGGGGATTTTTAATCTGCACTTCGCAGAAGTAGTGCAGAACCCAACAGGCACGCGCCCGCATGTGGCCAGCGGGATTCTGGAACTCTGGAAATACATAGGTAGTAAGCATAGACTCCACTTGGTCCCGATATTGAGCCTTCTTCAGCAGAACATCCGCCAGTGTTCCAATCATGTGCAAGGCACCATCCTTTTGCTTGTTGTCCGCATTCGGGGACGTGATGATTTGCATAATTGTGCCCATGGCCTTGGGTAGGATGCCCTTGCGTTTCTTGCACATGGAATGCAGCATAGATTGCGCAGCCGGAACCGGCGTGGCGTAGTCCTCAAATATATCTGAGAATAAATGTGGATAGTTTATAATTATATGTTTATAATTTAGTTTCAAAGGTTTCGTTGTATTTACCGAACTTCAGACGGATATATTCGTAGGGATCGTTCTCCCACAGGTCCTGATCGGAGTCGGTGAACGACATAATGGGGAATATCACATCCTGGATAACTGCCACCATGTGCGGCTTGATTAGCTTCCAGGTATAGGCGTGGCTTACACTACAAATTTTAATTAAAAATAATATTGTGGGATTTCCATAAAAATGATATATACTGACGCATTCTTCAGATAGTTGAGCACATTCGTGAGAACACGCGGCGAAACGTAGATGCGATTGCGGTACTGGTCGAGGATTTTGAGAAGCACCTCCAGTACACCTTGGCTGAACGTTGGCAGATACCATTCGGCGAATTTTTGGTACTTTTCACTAACCACGTTGCTGGGACTGCCATACCTGAAAAAAAACAAAGCTTTAATATTTCGTTAAGAAATTTTCATTTTTCTCAAGCTTACCTCTCGAACATGCGGACCATGATGTGGAGAGCCCACTTCTTGGTCTTCCAGTAGGGGAATTCGGTGCGTTCATCATCGTCCAAATGAGAGCTATCGGGTACATCCCGATCAGCGATTTGGCGACAAATTTCCATCCACTGCGAGAAGATCTCCTTGGTGATAAGGTCCAGCGGCAGACTGTACTGCGTAAGAGCGAAGTAGATCTTAAGGATCTGTTTCTGAAGCAGCACCGACTGCTCAGACTGCTCGGTCAGGAGGCGAACCATCAGCTGGTAGATCATGGGCAGCAACAGGTTCATGGCCTCGTTGAGGGGCGTTCGCTCCTCGCTGCGCTTGTACTCGTAGGTCTTCACCAGCTGATACATGGTCAGCAAGGCGCCATTCCAACCGTTGACATCCTGATTTTGCAGATAGATGCTGATGTTGTCTACCACTTGGGGCCATCGGCCGGGGAAGTCACTCTTAATGATGTGATTCACGCAGACGGAGAGTTGAACTCTAAAAATGAAGTCACGTTAGATTGGCAAGGAGTGGAATCTCATTAGTTTACCTGATGAGCTCAGGGGCATGTACAATGGCGTCTACAATGGAACCACGGATCATGGCACGGTCCTGTTCATGAATGGAGAACGGAATCGGCTCGCCCGGCTTGGCCTCGTGGTCTGACCAGCTGCTGTTTATCAAATTCTTGAGGTATACAGCACCTGCCTGGCGCACCGGCTGCTCCACCGTCGTCTGCATTACGATCTGCAGTATGGTGGGCACGAATCCGATGATTTTGTGTATCTGCGGGCGAGAAAACAATGTATGGATTTGTTTACACAGCTGTCGGATGCGAAATACGAAATATTTGGTTGGTTGGGTTCGATTGGCTCGAAGAATCGATGGTAGCACATGGTTGTGGCACTTAAAATTCTGCTCACAGCCCTCGACTAATATGGAGGAGCCAAGAGCCACTGGCTATAAATGCTGATAAAGTTAATTAACCCAAGGGGCGGCGGGTGGAAATGAGAGACGGCGGTGGGAGGGGCATGCAAATCGTTAGATGCTGACTCAGTCGTAATGAGCATGCCTGGACAGTGGTGCCGAAGCAATTGGTTAATTGCGGCCGGGCTCTAATTAAGCAAAATGTTCTGATTGGATGGGCAGTATGCCTAATCCCAGTAGGATTGCATAAGTCCAATTAGACAGGAATTTTCGAGTATTTGTAGTACCTCTTAGCGACAGCTCGATTATTTGTTAACAATTTATTTCTCAAGAATTCAATTAAAACCACAGTGCTGACAAGCACATGGGCATCGGAGCATATATAGTATATACATGTACGACATACACATATGTCGCCACATAAATACTTGTTGCCGGAATGAAAACCGTAAAGGGCAAAGAATAATGGCAGGAATATAAAGGTCAACACAGGACCACCGATATCGGCTTACACTGCCATTACCCTGCCGCACAAATACAAACATCGAAAACAAAGCTAGGGAGAGGGAGGTTAAAAGCGAACAATTAAAAAAGCACATGGTTTCGGACGATGGCGCCACCCCGAAGATCTTTCGAATTTCCTCGGGTGTGTGGCCGGAGACTCACCTGGGCCAGTTGCTCCTCGGCGGCCTTTCGCTGCTCCGGATTCGGCTCGATAGTTGCGCGCAACAGTTCCGTGAGTTTTTGTGCCTCCATTTTTGCGATTCGTTTTCCTAATCCCTATCAAAACCGAATGCACTCTGTGCCGGTCGATGCTGCTGTTACTGCTGTCCTTAGCGGCGACACCCGCAGATCCTTTGTTTTCCTGCTTGAGAAAAAGGAATCCTTGATCCTTTTCCTTTTTCCACTGGCAAAAATCTCTGCACCCTGCACCCAGAGGTAAAAAACGTGGAAAAGGCTCACAGTGTGACCATTGGCTGAAACGATGAAAACCCGTACTTTGCGGCTTTCCGCCAACTTTGAAGGGAGAGAGCAAAAATTTGCAAGAGAGCGATTGGCAAAAAGCCGTGTTGCAAAACTTATATCTGGTTCGAATTATTTTGAAATTTTTTAAGCTGCAGTCAAATTTTGAACTGAAATGTTTTTTATTCAGGAAATATTGATTCATAGTTCTATGACTGTTAAAAGTTCCTAAGCCTACCTCTTTTTTTATATGAATATAATTTCATAACGCAGTATATTTTATATTAACGCAGCCTTATTTATCTTTTTGATTTCCTGTATCACTTTTACTTTTTTTTAAAGAATTTTTTAGAAAGTTTAAATTGTATATTTAGAAAATAATAAAAAATATTCGTTTATCAGAATTTTTAATAATCGCCATTCAGTTGCAGGCCCATCAATGGCACTGTTGCAACTCTGGCGGCTGCAAGTACGTGAGCTGTGCATGTGTGAGTGACAAAGAGCAAAGTGACACATCGTTTGGCGGAGGCGTGGTTGAAAATATATAGATTTTGGTGTTTATCGGCTCAGAAACGGTCCCAAATTAGTGGCAACCGAGAGCTCAGACAGGAATTCATTTGTTTTGAATAGCAGCAAGGCGAAAAACAGATCAGCGAGATGACAGGCAGGCTACCGGCGTGCGTAATCGACGTTGGAACCGGGTATGTTGGATTTTACAATTGGATGCCTGAGGGGGTCTCTCCGTCGCTTCCAATTGGGGAAAAGAGGTCGTGTGACTCAACGGATCTATTGTTTATGTGTTTTCTTCAGATACTCCAAGCTGGGCTTCGCCGGTAACAAGGAGCCTCAGTTCATCATCCCATCGGCCATTGCCATTAAGGAGTCCGCGCGAGTGGGCGACACCAACACAAGGCGCATCACAAAGGGCATCGAGGATCTGGACTTCTTTATCGGCGACGAGGCCTTCGATGCCACCGGATACTCCATAAAGGTATTGTGCAGCCACTTCAGCTTTCCCACCCAGTTCTGACGTTTATCTTTCTCATTTTCGTAGTACCCGGTGCGTCATGGCCTGGTCGAAGATTGGGATCTGATGGAACGCTTCTTGGAGCAATGCGTTTTCAAGTATCTGCGCGCTGAGCCTGAGGACCACCACTTCCTGCTGACCGAGCCGCCGCTAAATACCCCCGAAAACCGCGAGTACACGGCCGAGATCATGTTCGAGACGTTCAACGTTCCGGGATTGTACATCGCCGTGCAAGCCGTCCTTGCCCTGGCTGCCAGTTGGGCCTCCCGGTCGGCCGAGGAGCGTACCCTTACAGGCATAGTGGTGGACAGCGGTGATGGAGTGACGCATGTTATACCCGTGGTAAGTAGCACGCTCTTATCTTATCAGTTGTGTTGGGTTCGCCCATGGCTATAGTAGATACCAGCTAAAAGAAAATCAATTCAGATCAATAATGTTGACTAAAATAACAAAAAGTCATTGGCTTGAATGCCTTTAAGAAAAAACATGGATTGCTCATGAATTGCTTTCACTTTTTATCATCTTCTACAATGAGTCATACTTTATTTTATCTTGAAATTCGTATTCCAGGCCGAGGGCTACGTTATTGGCTCCTGCATCAAGCACATCCCGATTGCCGGTCGCAATATCACCTCCTTTATCCAAAGCCTGCTGCGGGAACGTGAGGTCGGCATTCCACCGGAACAGAGCCTCGAGACTGCCAAAGCGATCAAGGAGAAGCACTGCTACATATGCCCAGACATCGCCAAAGAGTTTGCCAAGTACGACACGGAGCCCGGCAAGTGGATACGAAACTATACGGGCGTCAACACTGTGACCAAGCAGCCGTTCAACGTTGATGTCGGCTATGAGCGCTTCCTGGGACCCGAGATCTTCTTCCATCCCGAGTTCTCCAACCCCGACTTTACCATCCCGCTGTCTGAGATTGTGGATAACGTCATCCAGAACTGTCCCATCGATGTGCGGCGTCCGCTTTACAATAACATTGTTCTTAGCGGAGGATCTACCATGTTCAAGGACTTTGGAAGGAGATTGCAGCGGGACATTAAGCGTTCGGTAGACACGCGTCTCCGGATTAGCGAGAATCTATCTGAGGGACGCATTAAGGTGAGTAACCAGCTCTTGAGATTAATGAAGTCATGGTATAACTATCGGTTTCTGTTCCAGCCAAAACCCATTGATGTTCAGGTGATTACGCATCACATGCAGCGGTATGCTGTTTGGTTTGGCGGTAGTATGTTGGCTTCAACGGTAAGTCCTAATATCTGGGAGTTCTTGGAAGGTAATACTAACTCATTTACATTTTTAGCCGGAGTTTTATCAGGTGTGTCACACAAAGGCCGCTTATGAGGAGTATGGCCCAAGCATTTGCCGTCACAATCCGGTTTTCGGCACCATGACATAATTGATCCGATCCAATCGGCCTACAGCAATTACTATTGATTTATTTTTCCAATTTTAAATATGATTTGTTTCCCGAACTATCTATATATATATATATTGCGATTATGTATTCCACACTAAAGTATTAGTAATGTTTCTTCCCATGTATGTGTTTAGCTCTAAACTCTGTGTGAATCGTTTTAATTTCGTGTGATTCTGTTAGGATAACAAAAACCATTCTGATGTCTGCCAGTTACACTCTACTAAGGTGCATTATTTCTAGAAGACGACTTTAAAGCCAAAATCGATCATGATCCACATACACCACCAGTCTGCACACCAAACAAAGCTCTTGAAAAAAATCCCCGTTCTCTACACAATTATATACGAGAAAGCTGTACTTGTCATAGTAATATTTATAATTGAAAAAAAAAGAAACTAAAAGTCGGTTAATACACAACAAGAAGGAAAAACCATGAAACTGATTGAACAAAAAATGAAAACGATAATATTGATGAGAAATCTGTTTGTTATATTGATAAGCATAATTGAAAAGGCATTAATTAAATCAATAAAACATTCTTTAAGCTCAACACGCTCGTCGTCTCTTTTGATCTAAAGCTTGTACTGGAAAATTTTATTCAATGCATAAGTTCATAAGTTCTGTAAGTGTTCAAATTTCTCTAGTATATATATAAATATTTCATATATATCAATTTTTGTGACGGTGTCGCTTAGCTAAGGGAATAGCAAAAAGGTGGTGGCTTCGAAAGGTTCCAATCGTAACATCGCCTAGCATGCGTAGGTTCCAAATAATTGACAACAGACTAGTCCACATAGTCGCTGGAGCCCTCCTCTTCGTCGGTGCTGCTTGTGGACTGTGCCGCAGCCGTTTCCGGCGAGCGCAGATGCTCCGCAATCCTAAAGTTCTGCAGAAAGTCTCGCATGGCGTCCATCATAAGGGTCAGCGACTGCTGTATGCCTAGTTTCGTTTAAATATAATAATTTTATGAAAGCTTTAATCCTTAAAAGGTATGCAAACCTTCCCCATCACCGTTAGCCGCTCTGAGCTCCTCAATTGCTGCTGCTGGTACGGCGGCGCCTGCGCCGGCTTCAGGTAGTGCTGCAGCTCCAGCTCCGGCAGCCTGGGGCTGCTGGGCAGCCGCCAAGTTGTTGATGTTAAACGAGGGCAAGAGCGACTGGAAAAACATGGATACGGAATTGTTCGTGTTCGTTGTTGGGCTGCTACTCGATGATTTTCTAAAAATAATTAAGGAAAATTATCAAATACGCTGTCCCTAAATTTCATATTTATCCCACCGATCATAGCTGTTGATGCTGTTCAGAGGCGGCAGTGGGTCGTAAGTCATGATGGCTTGTTTTTCCTTGGCCACAAAGACGGCCAAGGGCACCTTTTCCTTGTAGTCAGATAATATCACATGACGTAGGATTGGCCTGGGAGGTGTTCCTCCATAACGCAGCGATCGCTTCTCCTTATACTCGTTGACCAGGGGATCTTTCTTCTCAATCCTATCCAGCACTATGTTCACATTGGACTCCAACCAGGGAAGAACTTCATTCTGGCGCCAAACAACACGGGCGCGGCACACATACAGGCACACCAGTTGGTGCAAAGCTGGCGATTGACTGGAGAATGAGATAAGATATAGATAGAATCTACTAATCATCGAATGACATAAGCTTATACTCACTTGCCAGAGACATCCGGGAAGAAGTAGGTAGAAGCTAGCACCCGCTTGTCCGTCTGCACGGACATTTCGTCAAGGAGAGGACGCAGTACACCAGGGAACATCAACAAAGCGTATTGCAAGGCCTCATTGGAACGATCGCAAGCTCCGTGCAACGTGTGCAATGCCAAGGCATACGAGTAGGCCATGTTGGGCAGCTGATTGAGGTTTCTGGCGGCGTTGTACTCCTCATAGAACTCCACAAACCATCCAAACTGCTTGCTGCGCAACGCGTAGTAGTCAATTACCAGAATCATAGCTAATGGATCTGTGTCTGGTTGCAAGCTCAGGATCAATTTGGAGATCTCGAAGGCGGTGCGACTGCAGGCGCGCTCTTCCAGGTACTGGGCATGTTTAAAAAGTACAACAAAGAAAGATCGGTTCTCCTGGCGGCGGTAGTCCAGCCGGCAGTTGCCCGATGTCAGGCTAAAATTGATATGCAGCGAGGACTCCAAGAGCAGTAGGGCTCTCTCTAGGAGCTCCGAGGCTAAAGCAAAGTCTTCGGTCATCTTGCACACTTCGCTCAGTTGAATTAACGAGTCCACGTGATAGGGACAGCGTTTTATCAAGGTGATCAAGAACTCTGAATCCATACGCTCCAGGGCAGCTAAAAACATGTTTTGAACTCCTTGGTAATATTGGCTATGTTCGAATCTGAACCACTCAACATCACCGCTGCTTTCGGTGGCCGTTTTGGATGAATCTGGTGGGGCTTCGAGGGACGGGATCCATACCATGGTTATGGTATTTTTGGTCAACGGCGGCCAGGATTCCTTGGCTGTCACCATATGAGTTGACTTGAATGTGGGCTTTTGCCGGCCGCGTTTGGTTCTGGAACAAAATATTATTTGAATAAAATTCTTGGAATCTATGTCTATTACTATCGCTTCTTGGGACGTCACTTACTCTACTTTAACCACTTTTTTTCCAAAGGTACGACGCATTTCGTTCTGGGGGTTTAGGTGTCGCACCTCCACGGCCAGCAACTTTTTGGTAGCCGAAGTGCCTGCGGTGACCACCTGTTTCACCGACTGCTTGGGTACAGCATCATACACCTTGCCCAGCAGTGGATCCACTTTCTCGAAGTACTTGTCCTGGCGTTTGTTGTCCTCGCTGCTGATGTTATTTCCACTAGACCGAACCTTCTTCTTGCGCTTCTTCTTCTTCTTCTTGGCCGCAGCACTTGCATTCGCAAGGGCCGCCGAAGGAGGCTCCGTTTCATTGTCGTCCTCCTTGAACTCACTTTCCGATAGACTTAGTCCCGGCTGATTGAGCTGTGGATAAGGTATAAAATTAAGTTGAGTTGGCAATAGGAGGCCTCATGCTACCCACCAAATCGAATGGATTAAGGTGCGTTTTACGATCACGTTGGACTTCGTCGTCCTCCAACTCGTCATTGTCCGACAGCTCCTCGTTGTCCTCGTCTTCTGGAGGGGGCGCCAGCTTGTCGGCCTCCCTTTGGAGCTTCTTTAGCATTCGCGCGGACATATTGTGGTCCGGTGGTCGGCTGGATACCCTATGCTCTGTTCCTATATATTTTCGTCGCGGAAATACGTATGTATTTGATGTTCTACGCTGTATTTGTATTGTTCTGCGCTGGATTTCCCATTCGGAGCGGCAGTGTTGGGTAGCGTCAACGTTGACAATTAGCCTAGTGCTGCAAAGTCTGGAAAGAATTTGCCACCTGCCTGACAGTTGGTGGCGCCAAAAGTTTTTATTTTAAATTTATTCCTGTTATCGCACAGCGATTTATATTTTATTTTGTAGTTTTTTTGATTATGATTAAATCATTTTCCTCTTCCTTACAGTCCCCAAAACTCAATAAGTATATCTCCCACCAGAAATAACTCAAAAATTGTTTTTCTTTTCAGATTTTTAAATATGCATGCACATATATTTAAATAACACATTATGAATAAAATGAAAATAAAACATGAAGAAAGCCTGATTACATTTTTTTTCAATTGTCTAAAATTTGTTGTACAATTTTGGGCCGAAACACAGGCTTCTTAATTTCCAAAGGCTATTTTGTGAATGATTCACAAATAATGTTTTCCATAAAATGCGCCAACAATGGCAGCCAGCACGGTGAAAACGAAGGCGACGAAGGTGTAGACGCCTCGACGCCCCCAATGGCTCTGGCGCACCATCTGCTGGTCTGGATCTCCTCCTATGGAACCCTCACGCATGACTTTGATCTCTGCCTCGAGGGTCATACGCTCGTCCTCCAACGCGTTGACCTGCTTCAATAGCTTTGCAACAGGCTCACTGACCTCGAGAGCGTCGTACTCCGCCTCCACATCGCTGCGCGGAGAGGCGGACATGCCACCGCCGGCCTGGCGGTACTGATCGTCATTCTTCCCTGGTACTAGCTCGCACTTGATCTTCGTGTCCCAGATGTTTTCTGGCTTCTGATTCTTCCAGAACTCTGTCACATCGACCACATCCGATGTCGCAGTGGCCGCCAGGATCATGAACTTGTGCGGCTTCAGTCCCGGTTCCACCATGGTTGGCTGCATGAAGATGTCCACAGAGACCGATCCGTTGGGCCCCAGCAATCCGATATTGGGACGCACGAAGAACTGCCTCGGCGAGGTAGTCTTCATCTTGAACACTACCATAGCCGTCTTGCTGGGATTAGTGATGACCAGCTTCTCGCACACTGAACGGTTGAAAGGACCGTGGAAAGTCAGCGCGTCCTTGGGCTCCAGGGTCAGCAATTCTGGGCCCATGCCCAAGTTGTTTTTGATTTCTTGTTTGAAATTCATCACAACCAAATTCAGGATTTTCTTCTTTTTTTTTTTTGTTGAGACTCCAAAACGATGCGAATGGGTGGGGATCCGAACGAGAAATGATTTGGATTGAAAGAATAAATCTAGAACCTCTGACTCGACTGCGAAAGGTGACAGTGACTCCAGACTCATGGCTTACTTCTAACCTCCACCATTTTTTGAGTTGGCGGGGCAAACTAAGATCTGAGTAAAATATTTTTTTTTCCAATAATTGTAAATTTTTATATTTGGAACTGCGAATGAAAATTCCCAAATTTTAATAATTTAGAGCCCCCGATATTTCGATGAATTTCATCGATATGCGAAACCGTCCAAGTCGAAAATTTTCGATGGAACATAGCGTGCTTTTTTTCTCCATTTTGTAAGTGACAGTCACATTTTGATTCATTTCAACGGAAGTTATTGAGGTGGATACATCTCGTTTTTTTTCTGTTGCATTTTTTTTTGTTTTTAAGTTTTTTTTTCAATAATGTCTAAGAAGTTAACTGTGGCCGATAAAAGACAGGACAAATGCATTGCTTGTCCGTACGATCCTCTTCATCGTTTGATGCCGGAACGGTTTGCCTTGCATTTGATACGCTGCGCCAAAAATCATCCGGGTTCGAAAATGGTGCGTTGCCCCTTCAACAATACCCATTTGTTCAGCAGCGACACACTGCAGGTAAGAGTTCGTATATACATATGTACACAGTACATTAACATTAAAAGTCCTTTTAGCACCACGTGGAGAGTTGTCCGGATCGTGCATACTTCGTGCGATATACGACTCCCGATAAGCTCCCTCTACCTGGGCCATCAACTGGAAAGTTTTTCGTTGAGTCGGCGGAGGATTGGGACGCAGAACCACCGGCTCCTACCTACAATCCTGAAGATCACTGTCGAGAGTCGTTCGTAATAAGGAACCCGCAGGGTGCTTCACCGTCCGCCCGTCGTCAATTTCGGGAGCAGGAACGCCGCCGTTTCATCGAGAATAACAAGTTTTAGACGATATGGAAGTATTACTCGATTACTATAATCCAGCAAATTGCACAACATTTGCAGAAACCCATTGCCGCTTATCCACGAACTTGTCATACCTCACTTGACAATACCATTAACAAATAATAAACATATTGGTACATTAACCATAATTAATCAACCAAAGTACTTGATTTTTCAATTCGTTCGTTTTTATTCGGTCGTTTTTTTTATATTTACACAAATTCGATAGGTTGATTGGATTGAGGATGAGGATTTGGCGTTCCATTACCAAAATATCATGCGGCCTGCATTGGGAGAAGTGGCTTTGGCTAGGATTATTCCCGACAATTCATCGTCCTCCAGTTCGTTGCTGTTTAAGGTTTAAGGGGGAAGGATTTAATTTAATACATTTTTAACAGCACATATTAGGTTTTATGAAATTATATACACGTTTATTGGTATTCGCATTGCTGATACTTTTTGTGAATTTCTGTTTTCTTCTATTTCGCAAATAAATTAGAATGAATGTTGGTTGGGTTGTCGAGACAGCGGATGCTGGATCACCTCTGGTGAGTTGGCGGGTGCGATGATGGGTGTTCAAGGTCGATTCGATCGACTTTGAGGGTGGTGGTCGAGTGGTTGGTTTGTGGGCGGGGTGTAGTACAACAGGCACAACGATAACAACAGTTATAACGGATTGCGTTAGCCAATATCGCTTTTATGGTCTACAAATAGAGTCCGGCCAGACAGAGAGAAAGATATAGAGAGGGAAGAAAAGAAATTGATCAAAAAAAATATACAAATTGAATTCCATTAGCGGCACAAACATAAGTTCAGTTATGGAACAAGGTAACAATCATAACACATAACAAAACAATAAGGTATGCAATAAGGACATGCAGATGATGGAATTGATGGGCTGATAAAGCAGGGCAAAGGACCAAAGGGACAATAATACACATTTCTATTTAATTTTTTCGATTTAATATTTTATTTGTTGTTCCTTTGTTTTTGTTTTTTTGCGATTTTCGTTTTTTTTTTTCAAACTTTAGGCACTATTTAAATATTAAATATTAAATATATTGCAAAAATCAATAAAAAATATGCCTTAAAAACTCCTGCGCTAAAAATTAGGTTTTGTACAGCATTTTGTAGTTGTAAAAACTTTGAATTAAATAAATTTCGATTATAATTTAAATATCACTTAAATATTTTCGTTTCAAGCCACACAGATTAATTTCAAATTTTGAAATTTCAAATTTACGCTTTCGGACGGTAACACGAACGATAAGAAATTTACAAAATTTTAAGTATATATTATTTATAAATAGCATATTAAATATAGAGTGTATTTTTTTGTTTTCGTTTTTCAATGTAATTTTGTTTCTTGTGTGGGGTGGTTTTTTTTTCTTTTTTAAATTAGTCGGTTTTTTGTTTTGTTTTCTATAAATTAGGTTTCGTAGTTATGCAGTCGTTAATTGTTTTTTTTTTTTTTGTTTTTGTATAAATTAGTTTATCAATTGCGGTGTAAATTCGCTTACTCATTTACGTAAAAAATTAATAATCAAAGTCAACAACTAATCACAAGGCAAATAGACTGTCTAGAGAAAGTAAAAAGGAGGTAGGGCGTTCTTATTTTGCTTTCGAGCAACGCAGGCGATTTAGTGGATGCGTAGCGTAACGAGTTGAGTCAACGAGTGGCGAGAGATAAATAGCAGGGGAAGTACCATCACCAGAGAAACAGAGAAGTAGAGCTTTTGAGTTTGAAGGACAAAAACAGATAGAGAGAGAGGCACAAATGGAGTAAAGGGAATGCGATGGGGGCCCAAGGTCTGGGGATTGGATGATTGGATGATCAGGTGAGATTCTTTTTAGATGGCACAAATGCAGCGAGTAACGGGTTAGCAGGCACTTAGTGAGCGAGTAACGAGAAGTACATTTTCAAGATCTGATTTCTTAAAGTTAGCATGGAGTAGCATAGCATACTTGTAAGTTGCTAAAACCTAGAAACCAGATCTTAAAAGTGTGTTTTATTTCTAGATGGAATACTCTGCGAGACGAGACAGCGAGTTCTTGTCCAGCTCGCTCCTCCGCACGTTTCGACTTTTTCGTCGATTTGGCTTACTTTTTCATCAGCGAACGGACCTTCTTCATCGTACGATTAAAGATGGTCTTATTGTTGCCGCCGGCACTGTTGGTCGAGCCCAGCGATGAGTTGGAGGTCTTGTTGCTGGTCAGGCTGGCGCCTCGGTGAACTGAAGCGGAAGCCCTCTGCTGGTTCCCGTGCCTGAGGCACCCATCCGTCTGGTCCTCCCGCTCACTCTCCGTCGCACTCACGCCCTCGGGGCTCTGGCGCTCCCGCGGCACCCTCTCCCTCGCCGGTGGCGGTGGTCTGTCCGGAGAGGGTGACTTCGAGGAGGAACTAGTATCCCTTCGCTGCGGCTGCGGGGTGATTGGAATGGCCAGGTTCTGCATACTTTGTGTCTCGTCCACTGGCTCGCTCCCGGGCGACAGTAGCTCCGCCAGCGTTTGCTTGCTGAGGATGTGGTCCAGGCTGCGGGATTTCCTGTGCTGCTGGACATTAGATGGCGGAGACAGAGTGTGCTTGTCGCGACGCGTCACGGGATCAGGGTGGGCTTCCGCTTCCTCCTCCTCGGGTTGCAGGGTGCGCGTCGAACTGGCATTCGTCAGAGCTGTGCTTCCCGCTGCTACCATCGCAGCCGCTGCTGCTATCCTTTGGTCCGGCGTTGTTGAGCTGGAGCCTGCCTGGTCGAGCAACCCGTCCACACTGTGCGATCGATAGCCACTGCCCATGCCCGAACTGGCTCCCAATCCTGCCGCCGAGCTCCTTCTGGGCGGTAGATACGCCAGCGGTGTCATGTTCTGCATGGAGGCGGATCCTGCTCCCGACTTGTGGAGCATGGCCGCCTGCTGTGTGCGATAGGGGGGCAGGATTTGGGAGCGCTTCGCCGGGGCCCGGGAATAGCCGCTCAGCTGCGAGGTGCTGCCTCGTTGTCGCGCCGGCGAGGGGGACTGGCGGTACCTATTTGCCTGGTGATTAGCTGCGCGTGAGTCGGCGTTTTGAAGCGATTTTGAGTGTGTGGCAATCAGAATTAAATCATAATTAATATTAGGTAAGAGTAAAGGAGTAATGGGTAGTGGGTGGGTGATGTGTTTGGGTGGGTGTTTCGGTTTGGTTTGGTGTTGAGTGAATGGGGGTGGAGTATATGGACTTAAGAGAGCGAGGGGGTGGATAAAGAGAGAGTTGTACTAGAGAGTGTGACTGAGGATCTCTGCTTAAGCCTAAAAACATATTCGAGGTGGCTAGCTCTGCAAATCATTAGCTTATCTTCGCTCACTCTACGCTGGACTGGCAGCTGAGCTCGAGCTCGGATTTGAGTTGGAGCCGGGTAGTTGGGTAGAAGAAGTTGAAGTACTCGTTGGCCCACCTTGTCCGCTGCCATTGGCCGCCACCATCAGGCCATCCACCACACTGCCTGCGCCGCCGCCGCCGCCACCACCTCCTCCTGACGCTGCTCCAGATCCGCCTGGCGGCCCTCCTCCTCCGACGCCGCCGCCTTGATAATCGGAGTCGTTGCTGTGCATTCTTTGGTATGAGACCGAGCCGGGAGTGCCGGGCACCATTGCCGCAATGCGATCGATATTCTTTTCGCCTCGCAAAAATCTGCCGCATCAGAAGAATGGGAATCGTTTAAGTTTGTTATGACATTTGAAGAAAAGTTAACAGGCTATCGGGAATGGAGTTATCGTCCATCGTCCTAGTCCCAGGCTAATCCAGGCTAAATGCGTCGCTTAATATACCTTTCGAGCTTATCGATGCACGCGTCCTGGTAGTCGTGGATCCAGCTAACTCCGTTGAAGTGCGCCACACTGCGCATGTCCTCCGGCAGCGTCTCCACCTCCGGCCAGTAGAATTGCTGATCCATGATGGGTATGATGTTGCAGTTCGAGTTCAGGGCAGCCACAATTTCCTGTATTTCCAATTAATCAACGTTTAGACCATCTGCAGCTTGTGTTTTGGGAGGAGGATACTCACGCGGTGCACCCAGTCCTTGCAGTCCTCGTCGTTAATGCAGCGGTGCAGGGCATCGGGGGTTAATACTAAGACAAAGTTCTTTGCCTGCCGAATACTGTTCAAGAGGCCGTTGTCGAATTTGCCCGCCTCCAGGCGCTCCACGTCAATGAACACGGAGAAACCTCGCAGCTGAAGATGAACCTGTGGAGTGAACCAAGATTTTGGATTAAAAACCTTCCTCTAGAACTCCAAAATGGTACGCACCTTGAGCAAACTAGCCAGCTGGGAGCCATTGGAGCGCCTGTAGCTAACAAACACGTCCAGGGTCTTGGCCATGTTCTCCTCCGAGGAGCTGGGCAGCGAGTTCTCCAGGTTCTTGACCGCATTGAGGATGCGCAACCGATGGATCGAATTGTGGATGCCACACTCCGTCATCAGCATGTCCTCGTTAACATGCGGCAGGGAGCACTTGTCGATGCCGGCGTTCAGCATCGCGTAGGTATACGTGCAGTAGTCGGCGCCAATCTCGAGCAGGAACTGGTGCATCTTGGCCGTGTCCTTGGAGGAGTAGTCTGCCATGCGCTTCAGGCATTGCAGTTCGCGTTCGAACCGCTTCAACAGAATGCCATTGCCAATGCCGATATCGTCGCGCAGGTTGTCCTGGTTGAGTTTCAGCAGCAAATCACCGTCCACCTGGGACTCCTTGAACTGTTCGATGTAGTCGTTGAAACCGATCTGCTTCACCCACTCCTGCACATCCTCCACGGACCACAGGGGCACCTGCTGGGACAGCTTGTGGGGCACTGTCTCGCCGATTAATCTCAGTGCCTGGGCGGCAAACTTTGAGGCGATGGCGTTGGGGCAGCTGGCCACTGTTTTCAACGCCTCAATGGCATTGATCTCCCGGAAGATGTCTGTGTTTCCCTGCTCCCGCTTGATGCCTGCCTCCATGCAGAAGTGGAAGGCGGCCAGGTTGCGGGCCTCCTCGCGATTCGAGCTGAGCACCGGCACCAGGCGCTGCAGCCAGTGCTTGCTCTGGCCGTGAGCATGCGCCAGGTTGGAGCGGGCAAAGGCCGAGGGGTCGTGGCTGGTGACGAACGGCTCCACTAGGTCCAGGCAGCCGGACTTCAGCACCTCCGCCTC